CGTAGGAAAGTGCAGTGTTTGTGCCTATACCATAAAATTATAAACTGCAAGGAACCACAGTATCTCTACCAACTGATAACTTTCCGAAATGATGTCCACCGAATAAATACGCGATTTCGCGGAAGACTGTCGCCACCCTTCTATCGTTTGTCTTTGTTTCAGAGATCATACATATTTCAAATAACTTCGAAATATAATGAGGTGGACGATAATTGCAAGGGGTTCTCACTACGAAGGTTTAAATTTACACAGAAATATTCTTGTTTTCTTGAACAATGTCTACATGGGGGCAAACGCTGATCTGACATGTTTTGCAATCTTGTTGTTGTATCTAGCTGTTGCTTTGTAATTTTTGGCCGAGTCATGTTTTTCTTTTTTTGTTTCTTAGGTTAGTTAGAGCAGCTGTACTAACTAGTACAAGCTGGAACTTGCCTATTTTCTTTTGTATGTTTTTTTTTTGTACAATTAAGCTTATTTTCTAATAAAGGCATTTATTATTATATATTTAAGCAATTTTATTGTTTTTTTTATACTTTTTAAGATCATGATAGTTATTATGTCCTTTTGTAGATTTGGCTGATGATGACATCATAATATGTCGAAACTAGTACCAAGTATATAAACTTAATTAATACAAAAACTTTAGAGGTCAAGAGACCTACTTATTCTGGATCTTCTTTTCGGATCTTTTAAAATGTAGCTTTTATGGTTTAGGTAATTTTTAATTTAGGAAAAGTCTAATTTTTACATAAAAATGGGAATAATTAGTTAGCTTAGAATATAAAGTTCGTGCGATTTAGTGGTTTGAACATAATTATAGTTTAAAAAATCAGTAATACATTTTTTTTTCATCTTTGTAACTCGATTCGGAGACATACGAATCAATTCATATATTTACAACATTGTTGATACCATTTTTATAGTTCCATCACGGAAAACGTTTTATAAACGGGGACTTCTGTAAAACGCAAACATCACTTTTAGATCCATCGTAAAGTTTACTCCCATAAAACATCTTTTTGAATCGTCAATTTTACGAATAGTAACTTATCTGAAAAAGTTTTTGTGAAACTTTCTGTGCAACATTCTTATCTTTAAAAAACAAAATAAATAACTTAACATTCGATAAATATTTCCAGTTAATCTAAATATCGTAAATTCTTAGAAGTCGAAAATAGATGTATTTTTAAATATTTGTTAACAAGATTTTTTTTAACTTGATACACTTTGCTAAAGTGATTAATAAATTTGATAAAAAGGACTTAACTTCAAAACAAAACTTTTATTTATCCATAACCTACAGTGCATTTAATATTCAAAAACATTAAAATCATTTATATGTTAACGACAACACTTTTAAATAATTGTTGCAACTTTGGTATTTAAAGATAAAATATTTTAAAGTATTCAAGTAAAAAGATGAAAAAATCACTGCTATTTTCTTTGCTGTTGTGTTAGCTTTTTTTATTTAATGTTTAGTTAAAGTTTAATCAAATTTTACAAAGTATGCATAAATATTTTTAGTAATCTTTCTTTACATTCTTTAATCTTCTTACGTTTAACTTATAGTTTTTAATCTATATAAGTTGAGTTTCAACCTTTATCTGAACCGACTACAGTGTCCCATGAAATATATATAAATTATTTTAAAAAAAATTCAACTAAAGTAATTTAAAAAACATTTCCAGTAATAAGATTAGTAATAACAAGATTTTTTTTAACTTGATTCACTTTGCTAAAGTGAATAATACAAAAAAACTAAACTGCGATAAATAATATTGCGAAAAAACTGACTATCTTAAATAACATATAACCTCTTAAGATAACAAATACTTTATAAGGAAATACAAACATGAAGTTAATGCAATTGGTGGAAAATTAGTTCTGAATTTATTTCGCAAATTGAAACAATAAAAACGAATAAAATGAAGTTATTTTATTTCATGGTGATTTTTGCTGTGCTTTTAGTATCAGGTAAATACATAAATCCTATTTATTAAATAAACCCTTTATTATAAATTCTTTTTTAAGTTTTTGCCGCTCAAAATTGCGGACCTAACGAAGAATACAGAACTTGCGGATCCGCTTGCGAGCCAACTTGCGCTCAAAAAAATCCAAGAGCTTGCGCTTATAAATGCATTCCAGGATGTTACTGCAAATCTGGATACCTTCACAATTCCAAAGGACAATGTGTCAAAGAAAACGATTGTTAGTTTGTAAATAATTAAACATGTTTAAAAGAAATTTTTGCAAACTCTATCAATAAATAGAAAAGTGTAAAGTAACATTTCAGAGTTGTTTTATTTTATTAAAGTTCAAAGTCTTTGAAGATTAAAAACGGGGAAGTTTATCGTAAATATTTTGGTTTACGTAAATTTCGAGAAATGTTTTGATATCAACTAATTTCCAATAAAAAATTGTTTATCTTGAATACTTGTTATTGACCAAATTTAATTCGTGTAAAACGTGGGTTACATAAATATTTAAAAAATTCTCTAACTCGCTACTAAAAAATGATTTTATTAAAATAAAGCTTGAATAAAATTAGACCAAAAGAACCAAAATTAAAAGTTCTAACATTTGGATCAATTTGAGTTGTAACAAAAACTTTCAAATTTCAAAATATCGCTGAAGGCTTAGGTATGAAAATTAAGAAATGAGATATAGCTTAAATTAAAGGTTGGAGTCTCTATTTTAAAATTATATATAACAATTTATGTTTATTAGAAAATGTTGGCTGAAAAGATTTAAAATGAAACACTCTAAAATTTGGGTTGCAATAAAAATTGTCAAATTTCAAAATGTTACTAAAGTCTTATTTATGAAAACTAAGAAATGAGATATAGCTTAAATTAAAGCTTAGAGTCTCTACTTTAAAATTATGTATAACAATTTATGTTTATTAGAAAATGTTGGCTGAAAAGATTTAGAATGAAACACTCTAAAATTTGGGTTGCAGCAAAAATTGTCAAATTTCAAAATATCACTGAAGTCTTGTTTATGAAAACTAAGAAATGAGATTTAGCTTAAATTAAAGCTTGGAGTCTCTACTTTAAAATTATATATAGCAATCTATGTTTACTAAAAAATGTTGGCTGAAAAGGTTTAGAATGAAACACTCTAAAATTTGGGTTGCAATAAAAATCGTTAAATTTCAAAATATCACTGAAGTCTTATTTATGAAAACTAAGAAATCAGATATAGCTTAAATGAAAGCTTGGAGCCTCTACTTTAAAGTGATATATAGCAAGCTATGTTTACTAAAACAAGTTGGCTCAAAAGATTTAGAATGGAACACTCTAAAATTTGGGTTGCAGCAAAAATTGTCAAATGTCAAAATATCACTGAAGTCTTGTTTATGAAAACTAAGAAATGAGATTTACCTTAAATTAAAGCTTGGAGTCTCTACTTTAAAATTATATATAGCAATCTATGTTTACTAAAAAATGTTGGCTGAAAAGGTTTAGAATGAAACACGCTAAAATTTGGGTTGCAATAAAAATTATCAAATTTCAAAATATCACTGAAGTCTTATTTATGAAAACTAACAAATGAGGTTTAGCTTAAATTAAAGCTTGGAGTCTCTACTTTAAAATTATGTCTAGCAATTTATGTTTATTAGAAAATGTTGGCTGAAAAGATTTAGAATGAAACACTCTAAAATTTGGGTTGCAGCAAAAATTGTCAAATTTCAAAATATCACTGAAGTCTTATTTATGAAAACTAAGAAATGAGGTTTAGCTTAAATTACAGCTTGGAGTCTCTACTTTAAAATTATATATAGCAATCTATGTTTATTAGAGAAAGTTGGCTCAGGAGATTTAGAATGAGACACTCTAAAATTTGAGTTGCAGCAAAAATTGTTAAATTTCAAAATATCGCTGAAGTTTTATTTATGAAAACTAAGAAATGAGGTTTAGTTTATATTAAAGCTTGGAGACTCTGCTTTAAGATAATGTATGGCAATTTATGTTTATTAAAAAAAGTTGTCTGAAAAGATTTAGAATGAAACACTCTAAAATTTGGGTTGCAATAAAAATCGTTAAATTTCAAAATATCACTGAAGTCTTTTTTATGAAAACTAAGAAATGAGGTTTAGCTTAAATTAAAGCTTGGAGTCTCTACTTTAAAATTATATATAACAATCTATATTTACTAGAAAAAGTTGGCTCAAAAAAATGTAGAATGAAACACTCTAAAATTTGGGTTGCAACTAAAATTGTTAAATTTCAAAATATCACTGAAGTCTTATTTATGAAAATTAAGGAATGAGATTTAGCTTAAATTAAAGCTTGGAATCTCTACTTTAACATTATGTGTAGCAATCTCTGTCTACTAGAAAAAGTTGGCTCAAAAGATTTAGAATGAAACACTCTAAAATTTGGGTTGCAGCAAAACTTGTTAAATTTCAAAATATTACTGCAGTCTTGTTTATGAAAATTAAGGAATGAGATTTAGCTTAAATTAAAGCTTGGAGTCTCAACTTTAAAATAATATATATAGCAATCTATGTTTATTAGAAAATATTTAAAAAAATAGAAAAAGTAAAAATTTTTGTGAGAAATAATTAAATATTAAAATTTATTATTAAAGAGCAGACGTGTTTCGAAACGATTGTTTCATCTTCAGTACTTTAAAGTATATGCAAAATGATGGAAAAATACAAAAATATAAATAAATTGGAAATATCTTAGTAAATTTTAGCAAATTTTCTTAAAAATAAAATTATTTCTATATAGGTTTTCTTTTTGTTAAAAATAAAAAATTTTAGAAATATTGGAAATAAACTTACTTATCATAAGTTTAGTTTTTTATATTTTTGTATTTTTCCATCATTTTTTTATTTTTTATTATATTATTATATTATCTATATCTATATTATATTATCTATATTATCTATTTATATATTATATTGTATTTTTATTATATTATCATTTTTTATTTTTTTATATATTTTTTGAGAAATATGGAGAATTTCATCCCTTTTAGAAAATATTTAATTAAAAAATGTTTGTTTCAGATTATTTGAAGAACACGCAGAACTATTGGAATTATTCACAAAATTTAAAGAACTCAAAACTAAAGAAGATCAAGCGAATAGTCTGGAACTTCACGAACACGCCACAACGGTGATGAGAACATTGGATGAAGGAATAAAGGGTTTGGATAATTTGGATGCGTTTTTTGAATATCTTCACCAAGTTGGTGCTTCGCATAGAAGAATACCAGGTTTTAAAGTGGACTATTTTTGGGTTAGTAGATGTAACAGAAAACCGATTGGAAAATTGATTATCATTTTACATTCATAATTGGATCGCTGGAGCTCGGGCAATATTTCATTAGTGGTTTCACTTTAACGGTTTTAATCTCATCGTGCACGTCCAACGTTTCAACTATACAAAACAGTTTTGTATCGATAAATTAATCGGAAATTAGTGACCTCAAAAAATTAAAATCATACTTTATCTTATATCTATTTTAATTGTAAAAGTTTTGTGTAAAACTTTATCGAACATTTTTTGATTGGATGTTCGTAAAGGTCTCTATAGAGAAGGATGAAGAGGAAAGTTCTTAATTTGAACCGGTGTCGAATTTAAAAAGTTTCTAAACTTACGATTTTTTCGCTAAACTGAAAACAATTTTAATTCAAACTTTTCTCTGTTAAAACAAGAATTTATTCATTTCATTACACATTGTTTTGATTTATTTTTTATAATATTTCAGAAAATCGAACAACCTTTTTTGGAAGCTGTTAAAACAACGCTCGGAGATAGATACACGGAAAATGTGGAAAACATCTACAACATCACGATTAAATTTATCATAAAAACGCTGGTCGAGGGTTATGATAATGCTAATAAGACAACGTGAAACCAGAACGTCACAAGTTAAACGAAATACAAAAAGAAGCAAAAATGGAGAATTAAACGAAAATATAAAGAGTGTCTGTCCATCGTATTCCGATTAATAAAAAAATTGTAAATTGTAAAAGATAAACAAAAAAATGTTGTATAAGACCAATGATCATATCAAACAACATCTGATGTGTGTAATCTCAAAGAGATATATGTATATGTTTTTTTTGTAATAACTTGTCAGTGAAGTGTGTTCATAAAGGCAAATTAAGCCTACACCATTTCAAAGAACTGTATTTAGTAATTTAAGGATTGCGTAATTAACTGTATACATGTAATAAGTAATCTTCTTAATGTGATGAACGTTAATAAAGATGTATTAAGCTTCCATATGCAAAAACTAGTACTTAAAAAATAACCCTTTCATAAAAATTAACACAAAAATTGGGTTGCTGCATATACACATAAACCATTAAATGTAATTGTAAATTGTTGATAAAGTATCAATGAAATGAGTGTGGTTATAAAATAATAATAATTTGTGTAAAATGGGTTGCATAAGTATTTTTAAATAAAAACTATTTTAATAATGACATGAAATAAAATAAAACTAATTGAATGTCAATTCTCTAGTCAATTTTTATTTCCTCGAAAATTGAAAATGTTACAAGGGGAAATGAAAATTTAAACTTTGATTTATTAAAATAAACTCCTTATTTAACACACCTTTATTTACTTAATTATAATTAATTAATTCGTATAAGTAAAATGTACTGTTTAGTCCATAATAAGTGTAACTCGAAGTGATAAAAGCGTAATACGTTTTAAGAATATGATACAAGTAATGCGTCGTGTAGATTATAAGAGGCGCATTTTCACTAATTCACGTTGAACATAACATTTATCATTGTTATTTATGTATTGAGATATATAAATATAGCTGTGTACACTTTCAATTTAGTCTCATTTATCAACCTTATACAAAATTTAGATTTTAGATAAATTTTAGATTAAAAACTCTTTGATTTGGACCAAATTGAGTTGTAACAAAAACTGTCAAATGTCAAAATAGACTTTGAAGTCTCTGCTTTAAGATAATATACGGCAATTTAAGTTTATTAAAAAATGTTGGCTGAAAAGATTTAGAATTAAACACTCTAAAATTTGGGTTGCGATAAAAAGTGTCAAATTTCAAAATATCACTGAAGTCTTATTTATGAAAACTAAGAAATGAGGTTTAGCTTATATTAAAGCTTGGAGACTCTGCTTTAAGATAATATATGGCAATTTATGTTTATTATAAAAAGTTGGNCCATTAAAAATAATTGTAAATTGTTGATAAAGTATCAATGAAATGAGTGTGGTTATAAAATAATAATAATTTGTGTAAAATGGGTTGCATAAGTATTTTTAAATAAAAACTATTTTAATAAAGACATGAAATAAAATTAATTGAATGTCAATTCTCTAGTCAATTTTTATTTCCTCGAAAATTGAAAATGTTACAAGGGGAAATGAAAATTTAAACTTTGATTTATTAAAATAAACTCCTTATTTAACACACCTTTATTTACTTAATTATAATTAATTAATTCGTATAAGTAAAATGTACTGTTTAGTCCATAATAAGTGTAACTCGAAGTGATAAAAGCGTAATACGTTTTAAGAATATGATACAAGTAATGCGTCGTGTAGATTATAAGAGGCGCATTTTCACTAATTCACGTTGAACATAACATTTATCATTGTTATTTATGTATTGAGATATATAAATATAGCTGTGTACACTTTCAATTTAGTCTCATTTATCAACCTTAAACAAAATTAACAAAAAATTCAAGAAATATAATTTTAGATTAAATTAAAGAAATTAATTTCAAATTAATAAATTTTAAAATGTCCCTGAAATAATACAGGGTGATTCTCAACCTATACACATAATTTTGGGGGTTTATTCCTCATGACAAATAATGACTAATAGGTGAAAAAAATTGTAGGAAAAGTTTTTTAGTTTCCTAGATTTCAATGAAGAATAGGACTGCTACATCCATTGTTGTGACAACCTGCCCGCAAACTACGTCACACCATTTTCCACGCCCAACTGTTGTTATGGTCTATGTGTTTGTTGTGTATTTTTAGAGGTTATATCCTAGACGTATTCATATTATTTTTGAAGTTTTATGTTTTTAGACGTATTAATGTCTATCATATAACCTCTAAAAACGCAGACAGTTACCAGGCGTGGCAAATAGTGTGACGTAGAGTGCGGGCAACCAATCCCTAGTGGACTACAAAAATACAATGGATGTAGCAGTCCTGAAGAATACATAAAACTTGTTAAAATAACATCATAGTAAGTGTTCGAAGTTATTTCCCATATATTTTCCATAAACCAATAAGTACCCCGTTCACAATTCCAGCCCATACATTCATAGAAAATCTTTGTTGAAAATGTGTTCGGTGAGTAATTGAGAATTCTGTACGGCCAATAATGCGTGTTGTGGACATTGTGAATACAGTTACGTGTGAAAATTGCATAATCCATAGCAACCACTCGCAAAATTGGACTCGAGGGGGATGATCCACTGGAAATAGGGCTTGTACACGTTGCACGTGATATAGATGGAATTGGTTGTGCAATATTTGCAAAATTGTGGATTATGATACCCCATGTTGAACTTACAATGGCACAAACAAAATTTTCATAGCCCTCTTCGTTTTTGATATACAGGGAGTGTTTGAAATTAACGATTTTCTGACACCTCCTGTATCTCGGCTATCCGGAAACTTAGTAAAAAAAGTAAAAACGGGTTCCAATAGATTTTTTCACGTGGAATCCAATGGTGCACGTAGAATTTTTCTAGTCATCACGGTTATTGAGTTATAAACACACCTCAAATACTGAATACTCAACTTCTAAAATACTTAACTCTTTATAACTCAAAAACCGTGATGACTAGGAAAATTCTACGCGCACCATTGGATTCTACGTGAAAAGAATCTATTAGAACCCGTTTTTACGTTTCGGGATAGCCGAGATACAGGAGGTGTCTGAAAATCGTAAATTTTGAAACACTCCCTGTATATCAAAAACGAAGAGGGCTATGAAAATTTTGTTTGTTCCATTGTAAGTTTCACAAAAAAGTAGCTCAGGTTCGCGAAAGCCACAACTTTCTATCTTTCATAATAACTTTCATAATCCCATCGAAATTTGGACACCCTGTACATAGACCAGACTGCTCTTCGACGACATTCAAAATCTCCTCCTCGACATTAACAATGTCTACAACTCTAACTGCTCCTCCATTTTTCCATTTAGCCACCACACGTAAAAAGAATTCACGTGCAGGACGATATCTCTCTGGAAACCTTTCTGCTTAGAGACGTGTACCATGTCCACAAGTTCTTCCTTAGAATTGTGCGCCATAATTTTTATAAGTTATGTTATTATTACATAATCAAATGTCACAATGACACAAGCGTACTTAAACAACAGTTGTTAAAATTGCAATCACCATCGTAATTTCGAATAATTTCTATGTATTCTTAATTCAAAAGTTAATTTCAAGGATATCTAGGAAACTAAAAAACTTTTGCTACAATGTTTCTCACCAATTAGTCATTATTTGTCATGAGGATTAAATCCCCAAGTTTTTGCGTATAGGTTGAGAATCACCCTGTATATGGCAATTTATGTTTATTAAAAAAAGTTGGCTCAAAAGACGCTAGATGCCATGTTGCAACCTTATTCAAGTTAGTTCGTTCCTCCCAAAGGTTCTTCAGCCAGGAGTTACGACCTCTTTCTCAAAATTCTTTTCCTGCATAACGATTTGTAAAAGTTCGTACTTTTCTTTGGTGACATTGTTAAAAAAAACGGTTACTGAGTTAAATGGTATGGACACTCTAGATGCAAGAGCTAGGTCAGTAACTGTACAGGATATCCTATTTCTATAAGAGATACAGGAAAAATGATATCAGTGTCTGAGGCTCGATTTTTATGAGGAATTTAATGGAATTTAATTAATACGAAATCCACATATCGATATCTCTTACGGTTTCAGAGATGATTTTTTCTTATTGATAAATCTTCCTTTCTGTGAAAACATTGCCAAAGCAACTTTTTAGGTAGAATTCGATGGAATAACTTAGCTTTCCCTCAAAGCAATATTTTAGCAGTTATTGACATAAAAATGATTTTTTTAAATAGCATATCTTATATATTTGTGCTAATTCGACGAGTGCATAAAATTTCCTTTCCACAAATATAGCACACTTGATATTTCAAGTGTGCTATATTTCTTCTATTTGTTCAAGTCTTCTTTGAAACATACAACTTTAAAACTTAAATGTGCAGATTTTGAAAAAGTAGGCTTTGGAAATAAAAGAAAAACGAGATTATATTTATAAATAGTATCAAGATAGTTGGTTACAATGAATTAAAACATAAGCGTTTGATACTGTTGATCATACTATACATCTCCAAAAGTTATTCTGTTATAGCGTCAGAGGTATCCCACATAAACTATTAACATCCTACTTGAAAGAGATGCGGAGTTGTATGCCGATGATACGTCATTTATAACAACAGCAAAAACGGAGCAAGAAGTGAAAAGGTGCAGCGATAAAAACTTGGAAAGAGCAGAAATATAGTTCCATAACAACAAATTGAAAATCAATACTGAGAAAACATAGTATTTAAAATTTGCGCCAAAAAATGATCCAACCATGTGTAATATCAAGTACTTAGGGATGAATATAGCTAATAAACTTATCTGGCAGTCACATATATCGGATTTAGCTTCCAAATTAGCTAGTACAATATATACTATCAAGCAAAGATAGCTTATTTCGCAAATTTCTAAAGTGTTGCAAGTTATGGAATACTGTTCTGGGGTATGGTATCGGACTCAGTTCGTATCTTCACCCTTCAAAAAAAAAAGCAATCAGATCACTATGCAACCTAAAACCGCACGAAAGCTGCTTTAATACAGAAAAAATACTTACCCTACCTTGTATTTACATACTCACCTGTTTGAAATATGTGCATGAAAACAAAGAAAAATATGTCAAGAACAAACACACACATAATTTCGATACAAGAAACAAGAATGCTCTACACACAAGAATGACCAACACAAATTACCACTCCTTAGAATCCAAACAGTTTGCCAAAAAAGTGAGAAAACTATTAATTAACCTACCCTTTACATGTCGTTATCTTATTTTAAAGTGTTGTAATTTGTGTATATATTTTCTTTTTAATCGACTTTCATGTAATGTATTTATTGCACTGAATAAAGTATATTTATCATTATCATTTATCATAACAGACTGTGTATGATATAATAGAATCACTTAAGTCTGTATTAAGGTAATAAAACGACTTGCAGAAAAGAAAATTTGGGTTGCATAAGTATTTTTAAATAAAATCAATTTTAATAATAATGTAATAAAACTAATTTATGTATAGAACCAATTTTTGCTTGTTTAAAAATAAAAATGTTGCAAAAATTTATCTCACACACCTTTATTTATTAGTAGTTATTAGTAATTATTGTTATCTCAAAGTAAATTGTACTGTTTAGTCCATAATAAAAATAACTGAAGTGATAAAAACTTAATACGTTTTAAAAATATGAAACATAATATTTATCATTATTATTAGAAACATAAAGTAAATAATTATTATTAAGTAAAACGATTCAAAATTTTCTGATAAAAAGTAACTGTTTCATAATCTCGTTTAACGTTCCTAAATGTTTGCTTTATTAAATTCATAAACGTTTATGATTATAATTGGATTATGTTTATGGGTTTCTTTATGATAGTTCATTTTGAACTTAATTTACAGTACAAGTTAATCTAGATGCGTCTATCTACAGCGACATAAACGCATCCTGTTTAAAACAAGATATTCTAAAATTAACCAAGTTTTATTTTTAATAACAAATTTAATTTAATTTCTCATTAAAACCTTAATGACATTTTAAAATTTCACTTCAAAGAATTTTGCATTCATAGTTGCTAATAACACCATGTTTGTTTGAGGTGATAGAGATTCCCCCTTTTTTGCTTATCTAGGAATAACACGCATTTAAAATTTAGTACTTTTCGACACTTCCTTCTAACAGCTTTGTGGTAAATAAGTCTGTTGGTTTGTGATTAAAGATAAGAAGACAAAACGGATTCCAAAACAAAAAGGTTTTCGTTTCCGGTTGCAGTATAGATACACAACCCAACATACATTTTTTTTTTCGATTTTTATATTCCATTCTACCAGTTCTCCGCGACTTCGAGGACGTTGAGTCAACCACGAATGGTTTGTAAGCGGATTCTTGATTCAGAATACGGTGATAGCGCGTAGTGAGTGAAACACGAAAAAAATATTATGTGTTAACGGTGACAATCAATATGATGGCAGTGATGAATTTATTTTGTTTGATGATTATTTTAGTTATTAGTGGATTTGTAGGTGAGAAGATAATTTAATTTTAATTTCGCGCTTAAATTTGTACTTGTTTACCTTCGGGAATCTATTTGGATTTGATTTTTAAGATATTTATTTTAAACAATCTTTTTGTTAAGCATTTTTTTTAACGATTACGTTTTATAATTGTAAACAATTTAACATCGTGTAAGCACCTAAGGCTAAGAATTAGTCATACAGGTATTTTTCGTTTCAAATTACAAATTATATTTCTCTATTTGATTTCTTTCTATTTTTATTTCTTTATCGTGATGATATACCCTAATTAAACACTCTTTACATTTCTTATTTACCTTTTCTAGTTATCTTGAATTTTCTTGAATCGCATCTCTAAAAACATTCCGGAGATGAATCAAGATTTTTAACTCCACGTTTGTTTACGGTAATGATTCATTTTTTGAGATCATTATTTTAAACAAAAAGAAATATTGCAAAATTTATAGTTTCGTTGAATTGTATCAAAGACATAAACCGCGATTACTAATTTTTCCAATGAAATGGTCTTTCTATCGCATTTTATGAGTTAAAGAATTTTCATTAACAAAAATAACTTTTTATGCAATCGGAAATTTTGTTTGTTTCAAAGTTTTTTATATAATATTGTTATGAATTTTTAATACTAGAATAAAAGATTCAAGAATTAGAATAAAATCGAATGGAAAGTTTTGTTTAAATAGCTCAATGTCTTCAATGTGAAACTAAAAGACAATTTTCTTGAACGTGAATGGCATTTATGACTCATCCTCGAAGGTTAATCAACTTCATTCTTAAAAGAGAAAAGTTTAAGAGAATTAATTTTAATCTCTTTTTTGCATAAATAATAAAATTGAATATTCAATTTATTATTAGAGCATCGAGCATAGTATAGAGAACACAAGGCTTGTTAATAAAGATCGACATAAAACGGGGGAATACCGAGAAATTTATGTCAATATTAATAAAGTATTGGAGATAGTATCTGCTCACCTTTCTTTGTAACATGATGAGACTTCCAAATGAGTCTGCCAACTAAGTAAACACTTAGATATTTTATTGAGTCTTCTTGAGAAATGAAGCATCCTCCCAGAGACACAGTTAAGTTAAATTTTCTAATCTCTCTATTTATGAAGAAGTTTCCATATCATCACAAAGTGTCCCAAGTTCAGCATCTTTTGAAATTGGAATATCCACAGTACATAGTAGCTAAAGTAGCTATTCCTAAGATACCGCCTTGTGAACCTTGTTCTTGTGACACTCCAAATTTTTTTCAAAAAGATGAGATTTCAGTTTTGCAACAGCTTTTTTCAAACGCTTGTTTAGGAAAACTGCAGGACAATATTTTTTTTTCTTCAAATACATTCTCAATAACGATTGTCACTCTATGTACTTGATCTATTGTAAAATTACGAACCTAAGTGGAAATCTGGCATGTTGGTACTCGTTTATGCCCGAATTATTTTTTTTTGATTTTTGTATTTCCAGTGTCATTTTGGTGCAGTTTTTATCCTTTGTAACTTGCATTATTTTTAAGAAAATACTATTTGTCCATGTTCCATTAATCTAACAATGGGCATGAACTTTAGCAATAAATGTATTGGAATTATTTATTGTCCATTATCTTGAAGGAAGTGAACAAAACAGGATTCATGCAGATTGGCTTCACATTTTTGACAAGACTATCTCGTGTTTTTTTTACTCCTTACTTTTTCAATCCAGTGGTTGCTTTCTTCAAATCGCACTTGCGTTGGCACTCTTGAACCCAATTCTTTATGAGAAGATGAACATCCTAATCCTGCCGGGGAATTACCATATTTTTGTAAATACGTTTGCACAACTATTGTTAAAAAATACATATAATCGTATGTCATAATAATAGTATGACCAAAAATAGTTTATTTCTTCATTGGAAACTAGGAAATTGAGTTCACCATTTTGCTGTGCATATAACGTCGTCATTTCTGCCAAAAATGATATAATACTTGAAGCATTCCACCGGATTAGAAGGAATGGTTTCTCAATGTTTCTCATTTTTGCCAGTTTCTTTTTTTCGGTAACTTCTTTTGTATTTCTGACAAAGGTTCGTTGTCACTATTTGACTCTTCGTCAGTGTCGAAGTCACCAATTATGAAAGTCCGTCCTTGATTTGTAATTTTTGCCATAGCTTCCGCTTGAAGCTGTCGACCATCCAGTTATTGATGTCGTTGCAGAACTCTTCGCGGCAATGAAGTATCTTTAGCACTTTCTGTGCCATCATCAGGAGGAATGATAAAAAAAATCCTCGTCTTGTATTACTTGAATGAGTTCTTCAAGTAATACAAGATACAACACGTTTAGCATAGCTCCAATATTGGAACTTTTAGGTAAAAGTGTTTTTTTTGTACTTATGAAAGCCATTTTTTACGAATGCAATTTCCAACTTTTTCTACACGTTAAAGGCACAATAATTCGTCAAACAATCACTCTCACTAATCAACGTCTTTACTGGAAACGTGTTGCTGCCTGCAAAATTACGCGAGAAGGGGAGAAAACCGGAGTTGTTCTATTATTGGAACTGTGGGCATAAACGGGTTAAGACGTTTTAAGAGATATATTTCAAACAATTTGGAACTGTATGATCCAACTTGTTTCGCCGGCTTGTGCACAAGGTTTTTTCTGCACAATATAAAGCTTAGCATTCAGCTCATCAATCCGGGAACATCAGAACAATAGACCAAAAAGAGGTTCCTTTGACTAACAAGCTTTTCTCTTTCAATTTGGAGCCCAGCAATTCAGCTGCCCCTTTTCCAAATCCTATAATTGAGTTCAACCTGAGAAAAAGGCTAAGGTGAATCGGCGAATATTAACTTCTAGATGATCAGAGTCTAAAAACTCGCCATGAAGAGGTGAATTCATAATCAATCTAACTGAAAAAACGAGACTGAAAACTACCGCTGTATCTTCAGATGCTCAAATATTATCTACATCCATAAATAAGTAATTCCAATAAATATCTATGTGCAAATCCGATGGAAATAAGCCAAGCAGAACTTTAATTGCAAGCATTAACGTGGTCCAAGTCAGCTTTTAATTCTTTCCATAAATTTTATTACAAATTTACTATAGTATAGATTTTGTGAAGAAGATTCTGCAACTAATCGTTGATTAGGCAATGACATAAATTTTTTATCAGGAGAAATTTTCTTGTTTTGTAGTATGAATGCAATCATGAGTTGGTGAACATACAAAAAATAATAGGTCATAGTACTAACAACTTGTTGTTGAATTACTACAATCATATTGACATCACTGGCTTAATCAGTGAGTCTTCATTAAAAGTATACTACCGTTTCACTGAATGCACACTCAAGAGGTTATTGATGTCTGATGCGAGCGAAATTGATTGGCATTTATTATTATTACTTCAGTTATCAGTAAACTTTCACGAATTCAACAAGTAGCAGGATTGGAAATCTCTGGTGCGATAAGCTCAATGCTAACTCTAGCAATGAGTGTTCTGCTTGGTCTATCTCCTTTGCATTTCCATATAAGAGAAAGTAGCCAGAACTACCATTTACAGGATTAAGTAATATGCCCAAAACTGCATAGACATGTCCTACCAATGGGCTGGGGAAGACACTATAAGCACTGAAATTGTGCTATCAATGCCGTTAGATTTGATGGGATCACTACCAATGATTAATGCTGGATACCAGATTGTACTGTAGTCGGCTCTAGTTAATGACTGTAAAAGAACTTTAAACACACTAAGTTGTGATAACAGAGTTTCTCTGATCTGGGTTCCAGGTCACTCTGGGGTTGCTGGCAATGAAACGGCAGATGAGCTAGCTCGAGAGGGCAGCGCTAAAGCGTTTGTGGGGTGCCAGCAGTTGGTATATCATTTGGCAAAACATAGGGTTGGACTGTGGGCTGAAGAGAAACTTCGCCTACTCTGGACCAGTTCTCCTGGAATAAGACACGCTAAGTTGTTTAACATCGCCACTGAAAAACCCAGGAATATTTTCGGACTTGCTCGTAGCAGTATTAAAGTTCTGATAGGTGTCTAAAAATTGTAGATGATGTTTTTAGCATCACATAACTTGGCCACTCGATCAATGTCGAACTTTACACTCATGTTTCCAGTCCATAGTACTGAAACCTACCGCAAATCTTTTAGAGTACGTTGTGGAACGATTTGCCTGCCGTTGTTCGTAATGCAGGTAGTTTAATAAGTTTTAAAAATGCCCTGAGGCGCCATCTGCTATCTCTTCAACTATCTTCTTCTTGACCTATACATGTTTGTTTTCTTCTCTAGTCTGCCTTTCATCTATCTTTTTTTGTGTCTATTTCCTTCCTTGTAGTAACTGACTATCGATCATTAGCATCATTTAGTATTACTTTTTTGGTAGCCATAATTATGTATTTAAAATTACATATGCACTGTTACCATCTTGGAAGATATCGCTTATTGCGATAAATTGATCCGTTTGTCTTGATATCTATATTTGTTATAAATGTATACAGGGTGTACAAAAAGTATGGAATAATCGTTATACAGCCTATAGCAGTGGTTGCTTTTTTCAAATCGCACTTGCGTTGGCACTCTTGAACCCAATTCTTTATGAGAAGATCCTCCTCCTGCCGGGGCATTACCATATTTTTGTAAATACGTTTGCACAAACGTAAAATAATAGTATGACCAAAAGCAGTTTATTTCTTCATTGGAAACTAGGAAATTGAGTTCACCATTTTGCTGTGCATATAACGTCGTCATTTCTGCCAAAAATGATATAATACTTTCATTAAGAAGCATTCCACCGAATTAGAAGGAATGGTTTCTCAATGTTTCTCATTTTTGCCAGTTTCTTTTTTCCGGTAACTTCTTTTGTATTTCTGACAAAGATTCGTTGTCACTATTTGACTCTTCGTCAGTGTCGAAGTCACCAATTATGAAAGTCCGTCCTTGATTTGTAATTTTTGCCATAGCTTCCGATTGAAGCTGTCGACCATCCAGTAATTGATGTCGTTGCAGAACTCTTCGCGGCAATGAAGTATCTTTAGCACTTTCTGTGCCATCATCTGGAGGAATGATAAAAAAAATCCTTGTCTTGTATTACTTGAATGAGTTCTGCAGTTGTGAGGGGTCTAAAATTATTAAAAATCTTTATGGACACGTTTAGCATAGCTCCAATATTGTTGGAACTTTTGGGTAAAAGTGTTTTTTTTTGTACTTATCGTATTTATTATTATTTTTTATGAAAGCCATTTTTTTATGAATGAAATTTCCAACTTTTTCTACACGTTAAAGGCACAATAATTCGTCAAACAATCACTCTCACTAATCAACGTCTTTACTGGAAACGTGTTGCTGCCTGCAAAATTACGCGAGAAGGGGAGAAAACTGTGGGCATAAACAGGTTAAGACGTTTTGAGAGACATATTTCAAACAACTTGGAACAGTATGAGGCTTCGCCGGCTTGTGCACAAGGTTTTTTCTGCACAACACTTTTGACGCGTGCTGGGCAATTGAGGTTCAAAACTCGGTGGTACCTCAAGGACACATTAAGCAGTCGGTACCGGTAGTTATATCAACGTCATAACTTTCGTTAATACACTAAAAAACTCCTCCTCACAGGTAAAATTAGCCACCTATCTGACCTTCGAGTAAAAACGGCTCAAAGAACTATCACATTTAGTAGTGGTTATAGCAGAACAGGTTTATAAAGCTTAACATTCAGCTCATCAATCCGAGAACATCAGAACAATAGACCAAAAAGAGGTTCCTTTGACTAACAAGCTTTTCTCTTTCAATTTGGAGCCCAGCAATCCAGCTGCCCCTTTTCCAGATATCTAGTCCTATAATTGAGTTCAACCTGAGAAAAAGGCTAAGGTGAATTGGCGAATATTAACTTCTAGATGATCAAAGTCTAAAAACTCGCCATGAAGATGTAAATTCTTAATCAATCTAACTGAAAAAACGAGACTGAAAACTACCGCTGTATCTTCAGATGCTCAAATATTATCTATATCCATAAATAAGTAATTCCAATAAATATCTATGTGCAAATCCGATGGAAATAAGCCAAGCAGAACTTTAATTGCAAGCATTAACGTGGTCCAAGTCAGCTTTTAATTCTTTCCATAAATTTTATTACAAATTTACTATAGTATAGATTTTGTGAAGAAGATTCTGCAACTAATCGTTGATAGGCAATGACATAAATTTTTTATCAGGAGAAATTTTCTTGTTTTGTAGTATGAATGCAATCATGAGTTGGTGAACATACAAAAAATAATAGGTCATAGTACTAACAACTTGTTGTTGAATTACTACAATCATATTGACATCACTGGCTTAATCAGTGAGTCTTCATTAAAAGTATACTACCGTTTCACTGAATGCACACTCAAGAGGTTATTGATGTCTGATGCGAGCGAAATTGATTGGCATTTATTATTATTACTTCAGTTATCAGTAAACTTTCACGAATTCAACAAGTAGCAGGATTGGAAATCTCTGGTGCGATAAGCTCAATGCTAACTCTAGCAATGAGTGTTCTGCTTGGTCTATCTCCTTTGCATTTCCATATAAGAGAAAATAGCAAGAACTACCATTTACAGGATTAAGTAATATGCCCAAAACTGCATAGACATGTCCTACCAATGGGCTGGGGAAGACACTATAAGCACTGAAATTGTGCTATCAATGCCGTTAGATTTGATGGGATCACTACCAATGATTAATGCTGGATACCAGATTGTACTGTAGTCGGCTCTAGTTAATGACTGTAAAAGAACTTTAAACACACTAAGTTGTGATAACAGAGTTTCTCTGATCTGGGTCCCAGGTCACTCTGGGGTTGCTGGCAATGAAACGGCAGATGAGCTAGCTCGAGAGGGCAGCGCTAAAGCGTTTGTGGGGTGCCAGCAGTTGGTATATCATTTGGCAAAACATAGGGTTGGACTGTGGGCTGAAGAGAAACTTCGCCTACTGTGGACCAGTTCTCCTAGAATGAGACACGGAATATTTTTGGACTTGCTCGTAGCAGCATTAAAGTTCTGATAGATATCTAAAAATTGTAGATGATGTTTTTAGCATCACATAACTTGGCCACTCGATCAATGTCGGACTCTACACTCATGTTTCCAGTCCATAGTACTGAAACCTACCGCAGATCTTTTAGAGTGCAGTCGATTGCGTTGTGGAACGATTTGCCTGCCGTTGTTCGTAATGCAGGTAGTTTAATAAGTTTTAAAAATGCCCTGAGGCGCCATCTGCTATCTCTTCAACTATCTTCTTCTTGACCTATACATGTTTGTTTTCTTCTCTAGTCTGCCTTTCATCTATCTTTTACTGCACTTTTTTTGTGTCTATTTCCTTCCTTGTAGTAACTGACTATTGATCAGTTGGGTCTCTTGGAAGTTATCGCTTATTGCGATAAATTGATCCATTTGTCTTGATATCTACATTTGTTATAAATGTATACAGGGTGTACAAAAAGTATGGAATAATGGTTATAAAGCCTAAACTTCAACTTATATTAAAAAAAGTTTTAAATAAAAGTTACTTGAAACTATTTTCCGCATATCTTGGCGTAGAAACAAAATAAAAATGATTACGGCAGTCTGAATTACGACATGATGAGTGTGTTTTTTAAATGGAATATACAGGGTGATATTTTAAGGTTTTTGAATTCTTTTTGACAAGGTGTTGCAAAATGCCATAAGGTTTTAATGCTTTAAACTGCATAGTTTTCGAGATATTGAAGCTTTTATTTAAAAAGATTTGACATAGTGACAACCAAATTATGGTGTCATTATGGAATAGACAACCTTAGCGTTGACGTCATACTGATGGGCGGAGCTTATACCGACTCCAAACATCTTCGTTGCTAAATCCCCATATTTAATTTTTCAATTAGTGTTAAAATAACATAAACTGAGACTAATATTTTAGATGACATTTTAAATAACATTTTTATGGCGATTTATCTTAGCAACGAAGATCTTTGGAGTCGGTATAAGCTCCGCCCATAATGACGTCATAATTTGGTTGTCGCTACGTCAAATCGTTTTAAATAAAAGTTTGAATATCTCGAAAACTATGCAGTTTAAAGTATTAAAGCCTTATGACATTTTGTAACACCTTGTCAAAAGGAATCCAAAAACCTTAAAATATACAGGAAAATAGTGTCAAGTAACTTTTATTTAAAACTTTTTTTAATGTAAGTTTAAGTTTATGCTGTAGAAGCCTTATTCCATACTTTTTGTACACCCTGTATATTTATGTAAATATTAAACATTATTATTATTATTACTATCAAGAGCCCAACTTTTTGCAGAGTATAATACTCTTAGAGTAACATTGAAAGCTAAAAATATTGACCTAAATATTACTCAATATCGATTTTTTTATTGGACCACATGCACGAATTGTTTATTTATGGAAAAAGAATTCAAAAACGTGGTTTGCTTTTTAAAATTGAACAACAAATCTTTTGTACGCTTATCTGTTTATTTAAAACGACATTTGATAATATGTTCAAATATAGTAAATTTTTTAAAATCAACGAAATTTCGGATTAAAACCGCTTTTTTCTATTCATTTTTTAATTTTATTTAAACCGCAAAGTTTTTATTAAAAAATATTGCGTACTTTCTATAATTCTGTCACCGCATATCAACAGGAAATACGCAGGACGTTGGTAGATATCGAACGGAGTTTATGACCACCCAGATAAATATTTAACAAAAAATTTTTGTTCTTATTTTTGTCTATTAACGATTTTTTTTTATTTCAGGTTTAATTTCTTGTATAACAATAGAAATTCAAAATGCGGTGATAAACGAAACTGAATATATTTCTGAGAGAGGAGATGATGTTGTTATTAAATGTAGTCACCATCATCCCATAGAATGGCAATATCCTAGAAATAACTTAGTAGATATACTATATCATATCAATATAATCATATAATTTTGAATTAAATTTTAGCCCATAACACCCTTTATAAGTGAGGAATTTGATGGTGAATATAAATCGATAATTCAAGTTTTTGATGTTGACCATCCCGCTGTTGGTTTTTATACTTGTGCGGAAAAAGATAACCAATACACAAATAAATCGATTTATATTTATGTTAATAACGCAAGTAAATTATATGTGGAGACAGAGGGTAATGGAATATTAAGTGGTCGAGAACATAAACCTCTTGTGGTTCCTTGTAAACCAACATCACCATTGGTTAATGTTAGCCTTTATGAAATGGGTGATAATGTAAGTAAAAAAATTACTTGGAACTTGTAAATAAGATATTAAGCTTGATAAATTCTTTTTCGCTATAATGGGTGCTTTTTTCAAGTGATGTATGCACTAATTTTAAATATTAAAACATTAATTTGTACAGAAAATAATTAGAAATGATTCAATACTTTATTTATTATCATTTTCTGCATGTACTAACACAAACTGACAATTAATAGAACATTTGGACAGATTCCACGGGAAGAATTATCACAGCACAACTTCCGGAAATACGACGATCGTATTGGTTTCGTTTGGTTTCCTCGGGAGCCGACCCAATTACTCATGCACTGTATATTTCGAACATTTAATAACGATGGGCGCGATCGTAAGGATTTCCTTGTACAAATAAGAAGTAGGTTTGAAAATCACATCATCACATTTTATTATTAATTTGTTGTGTTGAAAAGAAAACAACGCAGAAGTAGCTTAATTTTTTCCAATTCCCAATTTTGTATATATTGTAAATAAATCAACAATAACATTTTTGTTGCTTACCAAACACTACATCAACTAATAATATAAACATAAATTAACAAAGAAATCGAAACTCAGTAGATAACATCTTCCTGTTTTTACAGGATACAAAAATACGTATACAAATGAATAAACGAAACTCTGATGGCACTTTATGGAATTACGATAGAAGAATAGGGTATATATGGCAACATCCTATGCAAACAACTCCCAAATATGTAATTTGCGAGTTTGGCAATTCTAAATCGGAAATAGAATATTCTTTTGCAATTTATAGTATGTTTTCTTTAATAATTAATTTTATCTAAAAAAGAACTAAATCCACCACAAATACATCACTTTACACGTTGCTTAAAATCTCTCTGCTAAATAGACTTGGTGATCGGTTGCTTTTCCAAATTAAAATTTACAAAGATTTAATTTAAATTCTTTTTCTCAGCATTTATTGCGGTACAATTTCGATCCGAAAATCGGATACACAATTTTGAACGCCAATAAAAACGCCGTAGATGATATTACATGTCATTTTACTTCCGACATTGATAATGATATAATCATATTTTCAAATAGTAAGTAAATAAATAAAAAAAAAACCGTGGTGGTGGTTTTTTTAATAGCTTTGGGGTTTTCTCTTTACTATTTATTTGCTACTTCTGTATTCGCATAATTTCTAATTAGTGTTTAATTAAGCAATTACATAGATTAATCCAAAACTGTGTAATTGTTTATAATTTATACTTATTTGTGCTTTCGTAGCAAATCCTTTAAATGTATTTTTAAAATAAAGTTGAAAATGTTTGTGTTAATTAACTACTTAATCCTAGAAAAAGTTGAATTTGTGGATGTTCCCAAAATCGATAATGGTACCGTGGAAGATTTTTTCTCCGAAGAACACCCTTTAACTCTAACTTGTTCTATAGAGTATGATACGCAACAACTCGCACCTTTCCTTAAATGGTTTATAAACGGTACGGAGATCAAGGTAAATTATTTTTTTGTTTATACAACTCAATATACATCTTTTTAATTATTTAACAGCACTCCACCGATCGGATACAAACAACAAACGAAACAATTTTTGGTAATTTCATATCAACGTTAAGTCTTAACATTACAAAATTAAGTAAATCACAAGATGAAGGTAGATACACCTGTATGGCTTACGACGACGATAATAAAGAAGAATCTGTTAATTCTACTTTGAATATAAATAACATATTAAGTAAGTTTGATTAATATATAATAGTATATACAGGGTGAGTTATTAGTATAAACAGTTTGAGAAAGAAATGTTTTATACAAAAGTTGTTTGACTTTTTATTACGTCAAATCATTTTCACTTATACAGGATGTTCCATTTAGGCGTAACGGAGAGTATGTAGATTTTTTTAAACGGAACACCTGTATATTTTATCATATTATTAATAGAATTAAATTTGTTTATACAACCCAACCGTATGTTACTAACTCATAGCGTTCATGAAACTATGTCAAATCCAGTAAGTAAATGATAGTATCCAAAGATATTGGATACGCTATACAGCGTGTTCATAAAGCTTAGTTACTTTTGATGATTTTCAAATGCCTTTTTCATAGGTTTTGTCATATACCAGATTTTAATGCGACTTGGTACTTTATGAGATTTAAAAAGATGTAAGTAATGATATATGCAATTATATAATTTACGCCTTTAGAGAAAATAAGATGTACATGTTAAGATATACCTCAAGATCTTTTATATAGAGCATTAATACTTGTAGAAGAGAAAATGGAAAACTTCTAAATATTAATTAAATTAATACCTACTTGTTGAGCAACGTTTAGTAATTGTTTATAGTTTGTTGCTGCATTTCCTTCAAATAATTTAGTAATTAAAAAAGGAATTTCTTGTTCTGCCATTTGTTTTTGATTTTGATTATTTATTTATTAAAGTTTTTTTTTAATTGTGTTTTAATATAAAATTACAAATGACAGACAAACAAAAAAAGGACAGAATATATTACATTCTGCCACTTTTTTAAGTACAATAATGACATTTTATTACACATTTTTCTTTAAATTCTAAATATCAGGAAAATTATTAAAGTTAGACATATGACATACTTATCATTAATTAAAGGAAACTTGATGGGTAATTTAACTAGCACACAATATATAGGGTGTTCCATTTAAACAACTTAAGAAAAAGCCATTTGAAAAACATCAAAAGTAACTAACCTTTATAAACATCCTGTATAGTGTATCTAATATCTTTGAATACTATCATCTAACTACTGGTTTTGACTATTGTCTGACCAAGTTTCAAGGCAAAATCGGAAAAAATGTTGTTTTTACATAGTTTTTAAAAAGATCCTATAATGGGCACATTCTGGAAAAACAATTAAATATCTCAGGAACTATGAACATTGTGAAATAGTAACATATACGGTTGTATAAACAAATTTAGTTGTATTCATAATATGATAAAATATACAGGATGTTCATTTAAATAAACTGTATACAGGATGACTCACGTAAGCGGCAAAGTACATAAGTGGCATTAAGAAGCCGAGATATTATTATTATTATTACAACTTTTGAAGAAAGAACTGAGTTCTCGGCTTCTTCATGCCATTTATGTACTGTGCCGCTTACTTACGTATATACAGGTGTCCCACCTAAGTTGCCTCGGTCCATAGCCGAATTATGATTGAGTTTTTCAAAAAATGTTTCAGATAAAAGTTGAATCGAATCATATTATACATATTTTAAAATTAGTTTCAGTAATGGCGGACTTCCGCTTCTACCGGAAGTTACTATTTTTTGTAATTTTCGAAATTCATTGTAAAGTTTTAATTAGTTTTGTTATACTTTGACACTTAACATGCTGATGCTCCATACCAACACATAATGCCGAATTTTTAAATACAAACTTTGGTAATTATCTGATACATTATTTTCCATCATAGTATGTATGGTTATCACCATAGCAACATTAACTTTTAAATATATACATTAGTTTTAGATAGAACAAAATGAATTTTTGTTAATTATTCAATAACTACAAGAAATGTACCCCACAAACTATATATATATTTGTTATCAGAAGAAAATAACAAATTATTTTAGGTCATAGCCAACTATGGTGGGAAAAAAATTCTACCTACGCCACTGAATTCTTCGTAAAAAGTTGCCCATATAATGTTTTATTTATAATACTCCATCTNACATTTTATTACACATTTTTCTTTAAATTCTAAATATCAGGAAAATTATTAAAGTTAGACATATGACATACTTATCATTAATTAAAGGAAACTTGATGAGTAATTTAACTAGCACACAATATATAGGGTGTTCCATTTAAACAACTTAAGAAAAAGCTATTTGAAAAACATCAAAAGTAACTAACCTTTATAAACAGCCTGTATAGCGTATCTAATATCTTTGAATATTATCATCAACCTACTGGTTTTGACTATTGTCTGACGTAGTTTCAAAGCAAAATCGGAAAAAATGTTGTTTTTACATAGTTTTAAAAAAGATCCTATAATGGACACATTCTGGAATATCTCAGGAACTATGAACGCTGTGAAATAGTAACATATAAGGTTGTATAAACAAATTTAGTTGTATTCATAATATGATGAAATATACAGGATGTGCATTTAAATAAACTGTATACAGGGTGACTCACGTAAGCGGCAAAGTACATAAGTGGCATTAAGAAGCCGAGATACACAATTCTTCACATATTTTTGTGTGTAGAATCAGAACAAGCAATAAAACTATATCATTCCATTTAAAATAACATGTTTATTTCGGAACGTCGTCATGAAACACGCTGTATATATAAAAATATTTTCCGTTTATAGTTACATTTTCTACAACTTTTGAAGAAAGAACTGAGTTCTCGGCTTCTTCATGCCATTTATGTACTTTGCCACGTGAGACACCTGTATATACAGGTGTCCCACCTAAGTTGCCTCCATAGGTCCATAGCCGAGGTTGAATAAAAGTTGAATCGAATCATATTGTACAAATTTTAAAATTAGTTTCAATAATGGCGGACTTCCGCTTCTACCGGAAGTTACATTTTTTATAATTTTCGAAATTCATTGTAAAGTTTTAATTAGTTTTGTTATACTTTGACACTTAACATGCTGATGCTCCATACCAACACATAACGCCGAATTTTTAAATACAAACTTTGGTAATTATCTGATACATTATTTTCCATCATGGTATGTATGGTTATCACCATAGCAACATTGTTTAAATACATACATTAGTTTTAGATAGAACAAAATGAATTTTTGTTAATTATTCAATAACTATAAGAAATGTACCCCACAAACTATATATATATTTGTTATCAGAAGAAAATAAATTATTTTAGGTCATAGCCCAAGGTTTATATATAAGAGGTTGTCTAGGTTCGTACGCAACCATACTGCGCATTACGTCACATGTGGAAAATAATACCGCCAAGCAATTCAAACTAAACAAATGCATGGAGCACCACATGGCCATGAGGTTGCGTGCGCAATCCGTGATCGCTTACGTCACGAAACACTCCTGCTCTTGCCCCTCACCAACAAACTAAAATCAAAGTATTGCAGCATAGGAACTTAGACAACCTTTAATATATAAACCTTGGTCATAGCCAACTATGGTGGGAAAAAAATTCTACCTACGCCACTGAATTCTTCGTAAAAAGTTGCCCATATAATGTTTTATTTATAATACTCCATCTTTGATAATAAGTGAGATATTCGCAATTGTCGTTTTTGCAAAATTTTCNAAAAAAATTCTACCTACGCCACTGAATTCTTCGTAAAAAGTTGCCCATATAATGTTTTATTTATAATACTCCATCTTTGATAATAAGTGAGATATTCGCAATTGTCGTGTTCGCAAAATTTTCAATTTTTGCCGATAAGGCGAAAACAAAAGACGATAGCTCTTCGGAGTTTTCGGCATTAGCATTTTCTGGAAAAACGAGATCATGACATGTAAGCTACTTTTTTTCTATCATTTTTAGTTTCGGAGGTAGCCTATGCGGACATCGAAATTGGGACACCCTGTACATTACCGTTTAAAAAAATTCAAGCGTTATTCGTTGCTTATTTGTTTTCTGAAATAAAAACAATTGAATGCTGTCTTATTATGGCAAATAAAATATTAAACAACTTTTGTATAAAAAATTCTTTTTTAAAGTCAACATTTACCGAGATATATTCTATATTCCATACATAATGGGCATTAAAATCTGAACCACCTGTATATATAAATTCAAATTATATATACAGGGTGATTCAAAAAACCGCCGACAGACTTCTAGGGCAGGTAAATACATGAAAAGTTAAGATGAAAAGTCTTAATATACATGGGGTCGCAAATGCCTCCTTAACGAGATATAGAGGGTCAAAGTTTCTTTATAATTAAATATTATCTGGAATAAAAAGCCCTTTTTTAAAAAAATTTTCAACTCCACCGCTAATTTTGTCAAACGGGCAGTATTTTCGTGTAAAGTGATCAATTATCTATCAATTGGTCTCTTACAAAACTTTAATTAAAGCAACAGTTTTTCTTAGAAACTATGGCGTAGACAATATTTTTAAAAAAAGTGCTTTTTATAGCAGATAATAAACTTTGATATCTTTTATATCTCGCCAACGACGCATTTGCGACCGCATATTAAGACTATTCATCTTAATTTTTCATGTATTATCTACTCTAAAAGTCTGTCAGCGGTTTTTTTGAATCAACCTGTATAATTAATAAATTATTGTGGTTGTCTATGAAATAGAGATTAGATTTGAAATTAAATTTATCAAATTTAAACATAGTTAACTCGATACAGTTACCACTCGTTCTCCCTTATATATCATCTAATCGAACTATATGATCTAATTAAGCCAAGGTCTATTACGTCAATTTTACTGCCTCGTCCGCAAGCGACCTCGGCTTAATTTGAACGAAAAAGTAATGATAGTTCTTGATTAAGCCAATACATTATCATATTAATTTGGCTTACCTTAAAGTAAATCCGCAATATTTCCGAGATGATTGACAAGCGAAAACAAAACTGACCTACCCTAATATTACCCAATATTTTTGTCAGCGTTCATTAATATTTGTAAACAAAACTAACCTAACTCAACTTTTCTTTTCTGGAAGTCATTGCTCATTTTTTTAAATCACGATGTTAAAACACATTCTTTGATATTTTGCTAAAACTGCGTATCATACCCAGATTCAAGGATCTCAATGACTCCGAATGGCTCGCAATGACACCCAATGTCTGTCATTGATGTTTTCCAATTGGTCTAAAGCCTTTCGCTTTTAAAAGCACTCAATTTCTCCTCTAATCTTATAAAAAATCTAATATCTCTAACTGACCACACATAATGCAGAGTTATTTGTGGGTAGTAATACAAACAATACTATTTTTTAATATTATTCCTCTTTATAGAAAAAGGTAAACATTTTGTTGAAATTTACGAAGAAAACTCAATTAATAGCATAACAATAAATAGTACTACAACAGCTACTTGGGGTGTAAATGTAAAGGCTTTTCCTAGAGTGGAGGTTGAATGGTACAAAAATAATGAAAGAATTGATAAGGGAACAAAATACAAATTCACAAAAAATGGCTTCAAACACATTCTAACAATTAGTGATAGCACCATCGACGATATGGGAACATATACGATTAAAGCTAATGATTTAAAGAAGACCTCATTAAATCTAAATTTAATAGTTCAAAGCAAACCCCAAGTTAAACTGGGAGTAAATCCAATTAATCTAGTTAATAAAGAAAGTGTGGTTAATTGTTCGGTAACTGGGTATCCTCAACCGGATGTTTTATTGTTTTTCAAACAAGATTGTCAAGATTGCGAATACAAAAAAGTAAATATTTCTTTGTACTTGTTTTTAATAGATAACTAAATAAAATTTAATAACATTTTAGATTATACCTAATAAGAGAAATAACAAGTCTCTTTATGAAATTGATTTTTCGATGACGATTCAAAGCAATCAATCCGGATTTGTAAAATGTATAGCTAACAATTCGTATGGGGTTTATGAAAAAGTAAAAAACTTTGTCGTTAGCGGTAAGAAGTAAAAGCAACAATAACAAAAAGATTTTTCTAAATAACATAATTTTTTATAGACGTTAAAGATGGATTTCAAATTTGGTTGGAGGAAAATAACGAAGAAATTAGTTTCAACAGGAATTCGAATACATTAAAAATGGCAATTGGAGATAGCGTAACGTTTTATTGCGCAGCGGATAAACAAAAGTACCCAGGAGATATCAATTGGACCCACAATTCGAGGAATATTACAAATGTCGATAGGAGTTATACTAAATATTCCAACAAAACATTTTTTTCTATTCAAAAATTAAGTAGACATGATACTGGTAATTATTCGTGTCAAAATTTAAAAAAGGATTTAAACGTTTTCTTAAATGTCACAGGTAATTTAATTTGTCTGAAGATGTACCAATAAACAAAAAACTTTCTAGTTCTAGATTTAGTTTTAGTTCAATAACAAGCTGTTTAGCTGAATAACAATTAAAACTAGAACTAATTCTAGAACTAACACTAGAATTAGAACTAACACTAGAACTAGAACTAACACTAGAACTAAAACTAACACTAGAACTAGAACTGACACTAGACCTACAACTAATACGAGACCTAGAATTAGAACATTAGGATTTAGCCATCTTAAGAGACGCACGGCAGTGTCAGTGTCAATTCTGCTTTTAGTTCAATAAAAATATATAACACTCTAGCACGGAATAACAGTTTAAACTAGAACTAACACTAGACCCAGAAATAGAATCATTTGGGTTTAGCCGCACGTCTCTAAAGACGGCTAAACCCGAATGATTCTAGTTCTAGAGTCTCTGAAGATGGCCAAGGGCCGGAACTAGTTGGACTTAAATGTTTTAGGTCTTTCGGTATTCTGCATTTTTTCTAAGATAAGTAACACCTTTACCTACCAGGCAGCACAAAAATCTCTAAAAATGTGCGTGATAGTGCTAGTGCAATATTAGAACTAACACTAGAACTAGAAACATTCGGGTTTAGCCGCATGTCTCTAAAGACGGCTAAACCCGAATGATTCTAGTTCTAGGTCTAGTGCTAGTTCTAATATTGTACTATCACTAGAGTTAACACAAGACCTAGAACAAGAATCATTCGGGTGTAGCCGCAGGTCTCTAAAGACGGCTAAACCCGAATGACTCTAGTTCTAGGTCTAGTGCTAGTTCTAATATTGCACTATCACTAGAGCTAACACAAGACCTAGAACAAGAATCATTCGGGTGTAGCCGCACGTCTCTAAAGACGGCTAAACCCGAATGATTCTAGTTCTAGGTCTAGTGCTAGTTCTAATATTGCACTATCACTAGAACTAACACAAGACCTAGAACGAGAAACATTCGAGTTTAGCCTCACGTCTCTAAAGACGGCTAAACCCGAATGATTCTAGTTCTAGTTCTAATATAGCACTATCACTAGAGCTAACACAAGATCTAGAACAAGAATCATTCGGGTGTAGCCGCACGTCTGTAAAGACGGCTAAACCCGAATGATTCTAGTTCTAGGTTTTGTGTTAGTTCTAGTGATAGAGCTAGTGCAATATTAGAACTAACACCAGACCTAGAACTAGAATCATTCGGGTTTAGCCGTCTTTACAGACGTGCGGCTACACCCGAATGATTCTAGTTCTAGGTCTTGTGTTAGTTCTAGTGATAGAGCTAGTGCAATATTAGAACTAACACTAGAACTAGAAACATTCGGGTTTAGCCGCACGTCTCTAAAGACGGCTAAACTCGAATGATTCTAGTTCTAGGTCTAGTGCTAGTTCTAATATTGTACTATCACTAGAGTTAACACAAGACCTAGAACAAGAATCATTCGGGTGTAGCCGCACGTCTCTAAAGACGGCTAAACCCGAATGATTCTAGTTCTAGTTCTAATATAGCACTATCACTAGAGCTAACACAAGATCTAGAACAAGAATCATTCGGGTGTAGCCGCACGTCTCTAAAGACGGCTAAACCCGAATGATTCTAGTTCTAGGTTTTGTGTTAGTTCTAGTGATAGAGCTAGTGCAATATTAGAACTAACACCAGAACTAGAAACATTCGGGTTTAACCGCACGTCTCTAAAGACGGCTAAACCCGAATGATTCTAGTTCTAGGTCTAGTGCTAGTTCTAATATTGCACTATCACTAGAACTAACACAACACCTAGAACTAGAATCATTCGGGTTTAGCCGTCTTTAGAAACGTGCGGCTAAACCCGAATGTTTCTAGTTCGAACTAGAATCATTCGGGTTTAGCCGTCTTTAGAGACGTGCGGCTAAACCCGAATGTTTCTAGTTCTAGTGTTAGTTCCAATATTGCACTAGCTCTATCATTAGTGCGGCTAAACCCGATTGTTTCTAGTTCTAGGTGTAGTGTTAGTTCTAATATTGGACTATCACTAGATTCGGCTAAACCCGAATGATTCTAGTTTTAGGTCTTGTGTTAGTTCTAGTGATAGTGCAATATTAGAACTAACAGTAGACTTAGAACTAGAAACATTCTGGTTTAGCCGCACGTCTCTAAAGACGGCTAAACCCGAAGGATTCTAGTTCTAGGTCTTGTGTTAGTTCTAATGATAGTGCAATCTTAGAAATAACACTAGACCTAGAACTAAAATCTTTCGGGTTTAGCCGCACGTCTCTAAAGACGGCTAAACCCGAATGATTCTAGTTCTAGGTCTACTGTTAGTTCTAGTGATAGTGCAATACTAATGAGAACTAAAAACATTCGGGTTTAGCCGTACGTCTCTCAAGACGGCTAAACCAGAATGTTTCCAGTTCTAGATCTAGTGTTAATTCTAATAATAGTGTTAGATCTAGTTTTAATTTAATTAACACCGTCCGTGAAAGCTTTCATACTTAAATTATTTTATTTTCAAATAGATCCTCAACCACCTAGAATTTTAAATACAAATTTAAATTTGCAACACGACAATTTAATATTTCCAAATAAGCATGAATTATTTTGTAACGTTGATGGAATTCCAAGACCGAAAGTGACATGGCAAAAAGATGGCCACGAATTTATTCCAGATGATATCAGAATTAAACTTACAGATAATAATCAAAAACTAATTTTTACTAAAACGCACGTCCATGATGAAGCAACCTACCAGTGTACAATCACTAATAAAGTCGGGGTTATACATAAATCCACTTTCATGGGATTTTCAAGTAACACAACAAAAATTATTTAATTATAACTAAAAAAAAAAAATTATTTACAATTCTTTTTTAGATAGAGCCGAAACCAAACCTTACATATACGTAATCATCGCAATTTTAGTTGCGGCCACATCAATCATTTTACTATGTCTATGTTTGAAAATACGAAAGGAAAACGTAAATTACATCGTAATTATCAAAAACGTTTAAATAATTACTGTTTGTTTAGGAACTAAAACGCGTATTAAGAAGCGCTGGATTAGAACATTTCGAAAAAGGTCAAATCGAATCAATTAATCCCGAAATAGGAATCGATGAACAAGCTGAACTTTTACCGTACCACAAAGAACGTTGGGAAATACCTAGGGATCATATTAAATTGGGGAAACAACTCGGTGCTGGAGCTTTTGGTGTCGTTATGAAAGCCGAAGCGATCGGGTTAAACAACGATAAAGAAACGACGATTGTCGCTGTAAAAATGGTTAAGAAAAACGTCGATTTCTCCTATTTAAAAGCTTTAAGTTCGGAATTAAAAATAATGGGAAATTTAGGACAACACATAAACGTTGTTAACTTACATGGGGCTTGTACTAAAAATATTGCCAAAGGAGAACTTCTTGTTGTAGTGGAATTTTGCCGATTTGGGAATATACATAATTATTTGTTGAGACATCGAGGAAATTTCGTTAATCAAATTGACCCAGAAACGAATATTATTGATTATAACATCGGGGCTGAGTTATTAGAAAGAAGTTTTTCTATTTCAAGTAGTCACAGGTTAATTTTTTAATTAATTAATTTATTTTTTGTAATTCGCGACGGTAATGAAAGCTATTACAGTACTCATTTGGGTGTTGTAATGAGACTCCTTACATTATCCGATGCTGTAATGAGATTTTAGTAACATTTTATGTTCCCGTTTGTAGTTTTTGGTCTTTTTTTATTTTTTGTCTTTTCACTACGCCTTAAATTTAGCGTACTGTTGTTCGTAGCTTTCGTGGGACTTCTCTGGAAGTAGTGTTTTAATAGAACTTTGAGCAATTTCTATACATTTTATGTTTTAATTGTCAATTAAAAAAAATTTATATTTTCAAGTGGTACGGTGTTACCAACTGCTACATACCTATTTCCCTACATTGTCAAAATTTATTTTATTTTTGTTTAAAAAAAGGATAAAAACGCTAATTACAAAAAATAGCATAAAAAACACGTTGCATAAGACTTAAAGCACTCATTCATTAAAAAACTTGAATTCGTGCATTTCAAGCGTGTCTTACGAAACTAGTTTTTTAATATACTATTATCTACGACTGCTTGGATAAGTCATCATTACCACATTTATTTGAGGTGATTTGAGTTACGTAATGAAGTTTATTACCGCACTGGTTTCATTACGTAACGCATTTTTAGCCCAATCAGAACAGACATAATTTATTGAAACGAGCAACAATATAAAAGAAAAAGTGAAACAATACTATTTATTATAAACATTAATTGTTATTTGGTTCCTTTTTATCATCGTGTGTTAATGAATGTGTAAATGATAGTCGTACTTTAACGATGAAAGATTTTATTTCTGTTTTTCAGTTTCTACCGGTTTCGGCGTGTTAATGCCAACCTCAGGAAACCACGGTATACAATTTTATGTTTTCTCTTTATTAAAGTTCTTTATTCGTGAAGAGAAAACATAAAATCGTATAAACTGGTTTCCTGAGGATGGCATTAACACGTCGAAACCGGTAGAAACTGAAAAACATAAATAAAATCTTTTATCGTTAAAGTACGACTGTCATTTACACATTTATTAATTAATTGTTATGTTTTTACATTTCGAAATACTTATTCCAGATGAGTAAACATGTTATTCAAACTGTCATTAATTCAAAATTGTCAACAATAATTGGACCGCGTTATACATCACTAGACTAAGCGACATTTTATCGTTTTTAGAGATTTTCATGCTGCCTGGTAGGTAAAGGTGTTACTTATCTTAGAAAAAATGCAGAATAGCGAAAGACCTAAAACACTTAAGTCTAACTAGTTCCGGCCCTTGGCCATCTTCAGAGACTCTAGAACTAGAATCATTCGAGTTTAACCGTCTTGGGAGACGTGCGGCTAAACCCGAATGATTCTAGTTCTTGGTCTAGTGTTAGTTCTAGTTTTACACAAGCACTATCACTAGTACTAACACAAGACCTAGAACTAGAATCATTCGGGTTTAGCCGTCTTGAGAGACGTGCGGCTAAATCCGAATGTTTCTAGTTCTAGGTCTAGTGTTAGTTCTANTTACGTAATGAAGTTCATTACCGCACTGGTTTCATTACGTAACGCATTTTTAGCCCAATCAGAACAGACTTAATTTATTGAAACGAGCAACAATATAAAAGAAAAAGTGCTACCTATTTAAAGAGAAACAATACTGTTTATTATAAACATTAATTGTTATTTGGTTCCTTTTTATCATCGTGTGTGTTAATGAATGTGTAAATGATAGTCGTACTTTAACGATGAACGATTTTATTTATGTTTTTCAGTTTCTACCGGTTTCGGCGTGTTAATGCCATCCTCAGGAAACCACGTTATACGATTTTATGTTTTCTCTTTATTAAAGTTCTTTATTAATAAAGAGAAAACATAAAATCGTATAAACTGGTTTCCTGAGGATGGCATTAACACGCCGAAACCGGTAGAAACTGAAAAACATAAGTAAGATCTTTCATCGTTAAAGTACGACTGTCATTTACACATTCATTAATTAATTGTTATCTTTTTACATTTCGAAACGCTTATTCCAGATGAGTAAACATGTTATTCAAACTGACATTAATTCAAAATTGTCAACAATAATTGGACCGCGTTATACATCACTTGACTAAGCGACATTTTATCGTTTTATCTTAGAAAGAATGCAGAATACCGAAAGACCTAAAACACTTAAGTCTAACTAGTTCCGGCCCTTGGCCATCTTCAGAGATTCTACAAATAGATTAACATCTCTCATCTTAACCATTTTACAAACGACAGCGGTATATGTTGCCGAGACCTAGAACTAGAATCATTCGGGTTTAGCCGTCTTGAGAGACGTGTGGCTAAACCCGAATGTTTCCAGTTCTAGGTCTAATATTAGTTCTAGTGATAGTGCTAGTGCAATATTAGAACTAACACAAGATCTAGAACTAGAATCATTCGGGTTTAGCCGTCTTGAGAGACGTGCGGCTAAACCCAAATGACTCTAGTTCTAGGTCTAGTGTTAGTTCTAATATTGCACTAGCACTATCACTAGAACTAACACAAGACCTAGAACTAGAATCATTCAGGTTTAGCCGTCTTGAGAGACTAAATCCGAATGTTTCTAGTTCTCGGTCTAGTGTTAGTTCTAGCGGCAGTTGTAGCTAGCGCTAGTTAGCATAAGATATTACTATGTTGTATATTTTTATTGAACTAGAACGAGAACTAGAAACATTCGGGTTTAGTCGTGAAAAAAACTTTCAGCTGTCAATGTCAACTTTAATTTTATTATTATATTCGTAATCTTCATAAAATAACCTTTAAAGTGAGTCGAAACTTGACGCATTTATCTCAAAAAACCAAAAAGTTCGAACTTTTAACTTTTAATTTTGACATATTTGTCAACTTCATAAAAAATCCTTTAAAATGAGTCCAAACTCGACATATTTAACTTTGATATTAATGAAGTTATGGTCAACTTCCGGTTAAGAATGTTAACGTCAATTTTGACATATTTGTCATCTTCATTAAAAAACCTTTAAAATGAGTCCAAAGATGACGCACTTATTTCAAAAAACAAAAAAGTTAGAAATAAAAAACATTAAACCCGAAGTTAGCAACAATGAATATAGCAATTTAATTTTTAAATATTAATACCAACCTTAATTTTTTATTTTATTATATTTTTGTTTTTGTGACAAATATTAAGACATTTTATAAAAAATTAGGGTTATGTCAAAATGACATTGACATTTCAAATCGGAAGTTGTTTATATCTCGAGTAATATTAGAATTAAACGTATCATGTTTGGACTCATTTTAAAGGATTTTTCACGACCATTACAAATATGTCAAAATTGACGTTGACATTCTTAACCGGAAGTTGACCATAACTTCATTAATATTGAAGATAAATATGTCGTGTTTGTACTCATTTTAAAGGATTTTTAATGAAGATTACAAATATGTCAAAATTGAGGTTGACATTTTAAACCTGAAGTTAGTTATCATATAATAGAAGTTTTATAACTGAAGTTAATCTAGTGTTAGTCACTTTTCAGCATTTTCTTTTTATTTTTGTGTTTTATGGGTCATTTCACATTAATTAAAAAAAAATCGTTGATCTTTAAGCCACATGATGATTCTTGAATTTCCCCAACTTTCGAGCGTCCTTAATTACATATTTTACTTAATTGTATTTTACAACTTTTTAAACTTTAATTTTGTAAATTAGTAATTAATAATCTGATTTCGACTTTGATATGTGATCTTTTTTAACAAAACAAAAAGAAATATTAAGAAACTTGTTTGTAAAATGGATAGGATGAGGGATGTTAATCTATTTGTAGAGTCTCTGAAGATGGCCAAGGGCCGAAACTAGTTTGACTTAAATTCTATATAAAATAGAAAAAAAGTTGAAAAGTACAAAATCAAATACATAATTTTCTTCAAAAATTTTTACACGAGATAGGCACCAAACAATTTTCAATAGTTTGAGCCTGTCTATTCTGAGAAGTCATATTTCTGGAGAGATGAAAACGAAAATCTCGTTTTTCTCAACATTGTTCATTTATCGCTTAGTCAAGTGATACATAACGTGGTCCAATTTCAAAATATTTTTATAAATGTCAAAATAAACCTTTTTAAAGAAATTGATTTTTAAGTAATTTTTAGCAGTCGTAGATAAAATAAAATGTTGTATATCACACGTGGGCTAAAACATAATTACAGTACTCGAGTGATTACATATATTTCTAGCCCACTTATAATATAAATAACTATTATTTTTAATTATTTTTTCTTAACAGTCAAGATACGAATAACCCGAGTGATATGCAAGATTACCGCGATAATTACAATAACACAACAGCTCGAACCCAATACACAGCAACAACGACGGTTTGTATGACCCCAACTGGGCATGATGAGCCACTAACAAGTAACAACAGCGTTCAACCGGAATGGAGATCGAATTATAAAGGGGATTACAAAGGAAAAATCAAACCGATTTGCACCAAAGATTTAATAACTTGGGCTTTTCAAGTTGCTAGGGGAATGGAGTATTTAGCTTCGAGGAAAGTTCTTCACGGCGATTTAGCCGCACGAAATATTTTGTTATCCGATAATAACATCATAAAGATTTGCGATTTTGGGTTGGCTAAACAAATGTATAAAGACGATAATTACAAAAAGCAACATAACGTTAGTACAAAATTAAAAATAATGTATGCGTTATTAAAATTAAATCAATTTTTAGAGCCCTTTACCGATTAAATGGATGGCAATTGAGTCTATAACAGATCGTGTATTCTCAACTCAATCAGACGTTTGGTCTTTTGGAATTGTGATGTGGGAGTTATTCTCTTTGGCGAAAACTCCATATCCTGGAATGGAAGCAGATGAAAAACTTTATCATAAATTAGTAAATGGATATAGGATGGAATGTCCACCTTATGCAACACCGGAAATGTAATTAATTAAGCTATAAATTTCAAAAAAATTAATTTTTTTTATTTAGATATGATGTAATGTCGGATTGCTGGGATAAAAAACCAATGTTAAGACCAACATTCACTAAATTAACAGAACGCATTGGAAACTTATTAGAACAATCAGTTTTAAGAGTAACTAAAAAAATACTTCTTTTTATTATTATTATTATTACTAATTCTTTTTTGTAGTACTACATCGACTTAAACGACCCATATTTAAAAATGAACACAAAACTTTTCGAAGACATTCAAAGTGATTATCTTAAAATGGCGAGTCCCACCGATTTCCAAAGTTTATCAACACCCCAATACGTTAATTACGACTCCGGAATTTCGAGTCCAATTCCAGGTCAACCCTATTTGTTAATGAAACCAGGGCACATTTTCAGTCCAAGAACATTGAAAGACGGCGAAGTATTCACATTCGATGACATCAACAAAAAACGTCAAAATGAAAAGGAATGTTTGGAAATGACGCCGATGTTAAATTTAAGGGATTTGGATAATTTATCGAAACCTAATTCTCCGGAACCCGAAGAGATACCGAGTTTTTCTAATCCGAGTTATAATAAGATGCCTTTGATTACCGATGATATAAAAACTAAAGATAATTATGTTAATATGCCACAGAATAAAAACATTAATAGTTTTGTGAATGTTGATGAGAAAAATAAGAATCAAGAACATCATTATGTGAATAGTGTTAGTAGGGATTGGGAAAGAGATGTTATTATGGCTTAAATATAATCAATTTTTGGATTACTTACAAAAGAAAATGTGCCATATTATGTCATAATCAATTTTTTTTAACAAAATAGAATAAGAAAGAACTTTTAACCAATTTTAAATGGAATCTCAAAGTTAAAAGTTTCTTGCAATATTCATATTTTTAATAAAATAATTTTTACTATCGATTATGTGTACCTATTTATAGTATTAAGCTCAGTATTTATCAAAGAACAAAATTAATTGATCAAATATTTAAAAATTAATTATAAATACAATGTAATTTGTTATACATACAACCTGAACATGAAATAAATTGTTTTTTAATTTAACTGTCTCATTAATCGGGTTTTATCCTATAAAGTTGATGACATTTTCAAAGTATTAAAAAAACATCAAATCAAAGCAAATTTTCCTCTCTCCAATGATCAATCAATACTGATATCAATGATTGATACTCACCTAGATTACTAGCAATTAACAAAAACCGAAACTTTCTAGTTCTATTTTAGTTGAAAATTGATTTCATCATCGTTTATGTGATTATAAAAAATTAAATCAATGAACACCAACGTGTCCTTCTTCTGGCACGACTAAAGATTAAAATACACATTGTAAGAGAAGTTATGATATAAAGAAGTTATACAGGGTGTTCATTTCAAAACTTTCCACCTCAATTTCTGTAAATCCGGAAGTTTAAAAAATCGCTGAAGTAGGTAAAGAATAAAACCAAGGGGGACAACTTGCAAAAATTGACTCACTCCGCAAGGAATAACGGTTGTACCATTGTTTAGCTAATAATGGACAACTCTTTGAACTTTGATTAAGTTGATTTTCTCTGCAAAAAGTTTTTGTACATAATTAAATAACTGAAAATAAAATAGAACGTTTCAAGCAGTTAAAAGTTATTTAAGTAATAACCAAATAAACCTAAAAGAAAAGAAAAATGAAACAGAAATCGTTTTTTCTAAATATCTCTGACAGACGCCAGGCAAGCTAGCCAACGTAGGTATATCATTGTCAAAATCGAGCAATTTAAATAAAATAAATACTAACATGTAGCATAGTTTCCGATATTTCTGGTGGTTTTTATGACTTAATTGCAGTCATATAACGAACAAAGATTGGGTTGTATACAGGTAGTTTACGAACCCCAAACTCTGGCGTGAGTTGTTAACGAAAATTTCAATAACATAATATTTAAAAACTTAAATATCATTACTTTGTGTGAAAATACAACAATTTATTTAAATCTATCTAAAAAGTACATTTGCTTAAATAATTTATGATTATTATTATAAAATTTATTATCTTTTCACACTAATTCAAAGATAATCATAAAAAATATGTTTTAATTTTTATATTATAAATTAATACTTGCTTTTTTTTGTAAAATCATTTAAGTATAAGTAAATTTATATTATTTACTACATTTCTGTTTTATTTTGTTGAATTTAAAATAAAATAAAAAAGAAGTGCGTCCCTGGACCTAGTTCCCTAGGAGGACCTATCATAAATCATGTCCAGGTACTTTTTCCGGGTGATAATTACTGCCACTACTATTTCTGAGGGCCATAAAAACCACCAGAAATATCGGAGACTATACCTTAAAAGACCTTTAAAATGAGGTATCACTTGACACCCCTTTCCATTTAAGATTTTTAAGGGGCTGGTTTCTGGCGGCGGGGGGTTGAAGTGAGTGAGTCAATTTTTGCATAAAACGTTGTCCCCCTTGGTTTTATTCTTTACCTATTTCAGCGATTTTCTTTTTAAACTTCCGGATTTACAGAAATTAAGGTGGAAAGTTTTGAAATGAACACCCTGTATAAGATTATTATTGAAATTAACATTCAAAATCCCTTTAAACATTCTTAAAAAATTCTTTTAAAAAATTCAAAAAATATATTTATCGTCAAAAGTTAATGATGAGGGTTCATGCTTATTATTTATTATTTTAGGCATGTTACAAGTTAAAACAATTCGAAAAGGGCTGCAAAATATCATCCAAACTCAAAATTTAAACCTGAAGGGAGCGTTTATTTTTGTAGAAATAATTGCTTAAAATTTAATTAAATATCATCGAAGAATTTCTATAAAATAATTGAAAAATATTAGATCAGAGCAGCGTGATACCAAAAATGGGGACTTACTTCATCGTTAAAAAATTCCTTTTTTGAAAAAACCACGTGGATATATAAACCATCAAAATGAATTTTATAAAGACTTTACAAGACCATATTATAGAACACATTATAAAATATAATTTTTAAAAAATCTACTTACAAAATATGTGAGCAACCAATAAGTAAGTGAATCAAAGGTGTAAAAGAAATGAATTGACTATGCATGAATGTATTGAACAAGACGGAGAAATTCTGAGAAAGAGTAGGATGGTTATAAATTAAATTTGAAAATAGGTTTAGAAGTCAAAAAATAAAAGTGAACATTATAATTTATAAGAAGATTCAGAATGTTAAATGAATGAAAGTTTATTGTTTTTATCTTTATTTTTATTAATGTGAAGTTCCTCATAAAGGTCTAATTCATGTGATTTCTTTAAATTTTTAATTAGCTTAACATTTTGAAATTGTATATTGTGATTGTGACTTTGTATATGTTTGTAAACTGAAGAGTTAGCTTTGGTAATGTGTTCCCTAAAACGAGTGTACAGATTTCTACCGGTCTATTTTATCGCATTCTGGACAATTAATTTGATACACGCCACTCTGATCCTCACATCTCTTTTTTGATTTATTATTAACTAAACTGTTGTACATTTTATTGTTGGAGACAAAGGCAGGGGTCAGATTGAACTTATTTAAACTCTTTTTCATTTTATATTCAATTAGTTAGTTCTAGTTTTGCAATGAGGATAAATTAGGTTGATTATTTTAGAAGAGTGAACCAGGTTGTATATATGTTGAATCTCTTGTGTCTGGTAGCCATTATTTAAACCTATTTTTACAATGGTTTTAATCTCATTTAATAGCCTTTGTGAATTAAGGTATGTTGTAAATTCTGTTCAACAGAAATCTAAAATTGGCGTATTTGTGTTGCCTACAACAATAAGAATCACATTATCAGTGAAAGTCGGCTTCCTGAAGATGTTGAACTCAATTAAATTCCTACTCAAATTTCTTTGAAGGGTCAGATTCAAAAAGTTAATTTCAATTTCTGTTGTAAATTCTAATGAGCTTAGGTTATTAATTAAATTAAGTAGTGCTTTAAATTTTGCAGAATTACCTTTATAAACGATCGACATAACGTGTATAGAAATCAATGTCACTTACAAAAAGTTTATGTTTATCTATAAATAGTTCTTATTCTATGTGATCAACATAAATGTCTGAAAGGATCCCCGATATGGAAGAACCCATAGGTAAACCATTTTGCATTTTGTATTGCCTATTATTAAAACAGAAGAAGTTTTATTTACAAACAATATCTAACACGTAATGCTAAAATATTTTCCAGATTCGTCGTTTGAATGCAAAATGAAAAGGTTAAAAAACGCAAGGAAATTCTTGGCTTAAACGATGTATTTTTTATATATAAATTCGGTGCGACACGTGTTTCGTCTTTTACGACATCAACAGGCACGATTACAAAATAAATATCAAGAGAAGAGACTGTTAGAGGTTATGATAATAAAGTTAATTTAAAAACTAATTAATATTTGTTAATAATTACCGTCAGCGGATCAGGATGTTATAAGAAGTGAGATACAAATTTCAAAAAGCATTACAGGAGAAGAAGTTAATGTCGAAATTCTCTTTACATAAAAACCTTAGGTTATAAATCTTGATAAACTTCGTGATATTCGTTGTTTTAGCTAAATAAATGTAAAATATTGATTCGTAAATTTCCACGTTGTTTCCAAGTAGCTACTCTTCGAGTTGATTAAGCTAAAAAGTCTAACACCTTCAGAAAGCTATCAACCTCAAGCAAATCAACACCCAAATCTATCGAATTCTCTATTAGGTATTTCTTGATCAGATCTAATCAAATTTTATCCTTCCAAATTCCTCCGTAGTGGATTTATTAAAGAAAAACAATTCTTTTCCTCTTATTTTAGAGGGCTGTAACTTGGAGGAGAAGTGGTTTTGACCCCTTAAAACTTTTCGCATCAATTTATATACATCCTGTATAGCCTAAAAACTGTAATAATTGGAAATGGAAACCATTTTTAAGCTACAGTAAAAAGCGGCGAGGACATAGAGACAGTTGTAGAACATATTTTAAAAGATTAAACATACTAACCTTACCGTGCTGTCTTATATTAACATGTCTGTATTTACACAAAAAATTCAGAAGTACAGGGTGGTTCAAATTCGATGTCCGAATAGGCTAACTCGGAAACTATAAGAGTTAGAAAAAAAGTAGCTTACATGTCATGATCTCGTTTTTCGAGAAATTGTTAATGCCGAAAACCTCATAGCGCTATCGACTTTTGTTTTTCCCCTAGAGGCCAAAATTGAAAATATCGTAAAACCAATAAGTGCAATTATCTTGGTTATTATTATAGGTGAAGTATTATAACTACGACATTATATGGACACTTTTTTACAGAAAATTTCATGACATAGTCAAAAAAAATTTTTCGGTTTTAGATTTTAAGATATGAGAATTTTCGTTTTTTTAAATGGAAACCACCACTGATTATTCGCTTATTAAATTAGTTATTTTTTTCTGATTACATAAATATAGGGTTCGATAGGTCTATTTCTTATTGTTTTATAATAAAGCTAAAAATAAACTTTTTTTATAAAATTTCCATCTAGTGTCGTCGAGGAAATTAAATTTACAGTTTCCTGTAAGTTACGGGGCGGTAGGTAAAATCTAAAAAGTTAACAATTAAATACGAAGATAACTTCTGGTATTTAAAAACAAATAATTTTTTAATATGTAACATTCTAACATGTCAAACTTTTCAAAATTTTCGTAATTGATCTTAAAAACAGGATTTTTAAAGTGACACTTCAGAAAATTTTTGAATACAAACAAATGTTGCTATGTTTATTTGATTAAAAAAAAAACATATGAGCGCCATCTATCGATAATTTATTAAGTCATTTAAAAATAATATTAAATCGTAATAAAAAATGTGAAATAATGCAATCTATTCCAACTTTTGTGTAAAACATATATAAATTAAACAGTTCAACAAATATATTTGTTTCAAATATCAGAAATATGTTTTTTTAATTTTTAGTTATAGAACCGTAATTTACAGGAAACTGTAAATTTAATTTCTTCGACGACACTAAAAGAAAAGTTTATTTTTAGTTTTATTCTAAAACAATAAGAAATAGACCTGTCAAACCCTATATTTTTGTAATCAGAAAAAAATAACGAATTTATTAAGCGAATAATCAGTGGTTGTTTCCATTTAAAAAAACCAAAATTGTGATAATATCTCAAAATCTAAAACCGACAATTTTTTTTTGACTACGTCATGAAATTCTCTGTAAAAAAGTGTCCATATAATGTCTTAGTTATAATACTCCACCTATAATAATAACGAAGATAATTGCATTTGCTTGTTTTACGATATTTTCAATTTCGGCCTCTAGCGGAAATACAAAAGACGATAGCGCTATGAGGTTTTCGGCATTAGCAGTTTCTCGAAAAACGAGATCATGACATCTCAGCTACTTTTCTTCTAACTCTTATAGTTTTCGAGTTAGCCTATTCGGAGATCGAATTTGAACCACCCTGTACATTCAGATAACACAAGACGCAGAGATGACCTTATTCTTTCCTTTGATAGGATAGGTAAATAGCAGAATAACCCGAATTACGCAGCAGTGAAATTGTTCAATCTATTGCCAAGTAATATCAAAGCATTGAGTAATAAAAAATTTAAAACCGAAATAAAAGAAGAATTCAAAGATGGTGAATCTTATAGTGTACCTACTAGATTATAATAAATATCTTACAAATATGTATGTAAATAATCGTTGATGTATTTTGGTATTGTCTTTTTTACTGAAATTTTGCTTTTTTGTTTTGAAATAAATGATTGATTCTATAAAGTTGATGACATTTTCAAAGATTATTACAAAAATATATAGATATCAATGATTGACACTCACCTAGATTACCAATTTAAGTCAGCCAATTTCTCTCATTCATCCGCCTTCTTTCTCTATTCCCTTTTCTAATCAATAAATCTTCTACCCTCTGCTAGCATACTGCAGGCCATTCGCAAAATAGAGATAAAATTACGCAATTAATGTTTTTGAGAGAATTTTTGATACCAGAAGTAACTGCATCATCTGTTGATAAAAATTATGTATTATCATAAAGTCTCGATTTGATTAATCTTAATCAATACCTTTCCTGGTTCGGATCTGGAATAAGATGTTTGAGTACACTCTAAAATATATTCGGGATCTTAGCGATCTTTTTAGAGAGGTAAATCCTCTTTCGCCTCCAAGTAGATAACGTTTATTTAAATCCAAATTTAGATTTAAATACAGAAATACATATAAAAGGAATTGGAAATAGATAAACAACGTCAAGGTATTCAAAAGTAACAATGGGAGCTAAAAAACCATAAAAAAATAATAAAATGTTTTCATATCAATTTCTTTGTGTACAAATTTAACAAAACAAATGCAAAAAATTATAGCACATCATCATTACACATAAAGTATAGAAAAAAAAAAGAAATAAACTATTCCAATTAGAGTGGGTGTCATTTACAAAAACCATGCACCAAAAAGTCCTTAGAACTTATGTACATGATTAAAATATACATGATTTTTATGTTTTAAAAAAAGAAAACAACCTATTTACAAAACTTAAACTACAAAAAAAAATGGTTAAGTGTCAGTAACAACAAAAAAGTGAAATCTAACAAAAACCACTCTTAATTGTATATGGTTAAATTCTTTTTTTTTTTTTATTTTAGATCATTGTCTCATAAAAAATTAATTCTTCAATCTTCGTGTATATTAAACAACTTCGCGACTTCATTTAAATCTTCGTACTTTCGTTCATCTTTTAATACTTGTCTAGCAATTTGCATTCGATTGAATACATTCCATAATACAATTCCGACTACGATATCATCCCTTAAATAAAAAATAACTCCTTTTCCAAAATCTTCACCTTCCATTGGTTTACTCATCTCCCTTCGATTATCCTGTGCTTTTTTCTCAGCTTCCGGTGAAGTAGCAGCGTATTTTTTACATTCTGGTGGAACAGTTTCCGAACGAAGACCGTCATCTGATGCGGTTATCACTGCTTTTGGATTATCTTTATCGCTGGCTTTGGCAAATACACCAACTGTTGGTAAAGTTGAATCGATAATTCCAATCGCTTCATAACCAACTTCCGGTCCTAAATCAGACCAAAACATACTTTGATGAAGATATGGTTTTGCACCACCTGTCATGTTTTCTCCTGCTAATCGACCGGAAATAACTGCGTGGTCATGGTGCTCAACTCTTCTTCTACCCAATTTTACGTCGTAAAAGCACGCACAATCTCCAGCGATGTATAAATTTGATCTAGCTTGAAGTTCGGTGTTGACTAAATATCCTCCAAGATCTGGATCAGTTTCTAAATCGGATTTTTCTGCTATTTGAGTGTTTGGCTCGACTCCAACAGCCACAACAACCTTATCCACGATAATATCCTTTCCGTTATTTAGCGTTAATTTAACTCTATCTTTGGAGGGAACCGCCGACATAACCTCACTATTAGTTAATACATGTACGCCTTCGTGTTTAATTTTATCCGTAGTCCAAAAGCTTAAATATTCCGGAAGGACTTTTCCCATATTACCACCTTCTTTAAAAATTTGATAAACCTCTTGTATTCCTTCCTTTTTAAATTTTCTACCAAACGCGCAAGCTAATTCACTTCCAAGAAATCCACCACCAACAATCGCAATCGCTTTAGCCCCTCCTAATATATCAAACATATATTTAAAATCATAAACATCCCTGTAAATCGTAACGTTTTCTTTAACAGCATCTTCAGCATTTTCAAAAACATCTAGATTTTTCGGCGATGCCCCCGTTGCAATAAGGCACTTTCCGTATTTAATTTCTTGTCCATTTTCGAGGTACGCAATACGCTCGACGACGTCTAAATGAGAAATCGACCATCCACGAGCGACTGCTACTCCGCCGTTTGGAGTATCGAGTAATTCCCGACATGGCACATAGAAATCATCGGGTTCGTAAAAAAGACTTCTTTGGGAACCATTCCATTGTTTAAATTCTAGATTTCGCGCAACACTTTCATCTTCGCCGAACCAAAGTTCTTTAGAAAGCGGCGGACGCATGTAAGGGTAAAAACCATCTGCGCTTACTACTAAAACTTGAGCCGTTGGATCGCTTGATTTTATTGCGCGAAATGCAGAGAATGCAGCTGTACCACCACCTATTAATAAATAGGGAACTTCGGCGGGGATATCACCCGAATTTGCTGGGTTTTTAATTGGAACTCCTTTTACTGGAAGAGAAAATAAAATTTATCTTTATATTAAAAGATTTTTTTTATTACAGACATTAATTCAATTCAATTGTGTTTATTGGTGATTAATGAAGTGTTAATTAATTTTGATTCGTAAGTCATTTTTGCTTATAAATTAGATTTAATGGAAAAATTCAAGAATCACCATGTTTTAAAAATCGACGATTTTTTTTAATCAATCCCAAAAAACACGTTAAAAATAAAAAGAAAATGCGGAAAAGTGTAGGAAAATCACATTAAAGTTTCGATGTGACGTCACAAGCAATGTTAATCATGTATTTTACGATTAAACCGGTTAACACCTAACCAACAAACTGTTTATTTTATAGCCACGCATAAAATCAATCTGATAAACTTAAAAGTAATGTTATTTTTACTAAAGTAGCTTTAACCGCACGTCTCTAAGTTCTCTAGTTCTAGGTCTAGTGTTAGTTCTAGTTTTTTTTTTAATTTGAACAAGAGAACAACAACGGGACGAACCCAATAAAGTTGTTCCATACATTTATAAAGTACAACTAAAAAAAATCCTAATTTCTAAAACAAGCTTAAAGACAGAGCATTAAGGCATTACAATCATAGCGATACGGCAGATGAAGATATAATGGCGGTTCTGATGTTGCGCTTGACACTAGCTGGATTATACGCGAATAAATCGCAATTAAACAAGACCACTGACAAGCCTAAACAGAAAATGTACGTCATTGTATGCTCGTCGTTGACGGAGAGTCAGAAATGTGAACATCTCACAACTTGCGGGATAATCGACATATTCACATCTGGTTCTGTAGCAAAGATAGTAGACCGTTCGATGTAAACCGCATATTGTGGATTCTAGACAATGCTTCCAAAGTTTAAGACACTGCTAATATAAGCAGTATACATGCTTATAATTGCACTTGAGTTTGTGAAATGCTCGGTAGATCGTTTTATAAAGCCTAACATTCTGTAACACTTTACAACCACTCCGTCAACATGTCTGTCAAATATCAGCTTCTCTTCATCGACGGTGTGCGTCACTCGACGCAGGCCTTTCGTACCAATACAATTATTATATTTGATGTAATAGCGTTTTTTTGTAAATGAAATTATATTTGGCAATATTTAACATAAGGTGATTTCTAACACAGAACTGGTCAAGCCTGTCAAGGTCAGTCTGCAACTTCACACATTTAACAGCGCGAATTTGTTATACAAGAAAATATATCGTTAACATATATTAAAAATAATAGTGGTCCCAGGTGACTACCCTGAGGCACGACAAAAGTCACTATAGATGGATACGAAGAGTAGCCGCCTATGCGCAAGGTTTATATATAAGAGGTTGTCTAGATTCGTACGCAACCATACTGCGCATTACGTCACATGTGGAAAATAATACCACAGTATAAAGTAAATCAGTAGTCTCACTTGCCTTATATGGCGTCCTCAGTTTTGCTACTGCGCACACGCTGCACGCATTCATGCCACGTTTGCTACCTTATGAGATGAGTGATCTTTATTATCGACATAAAAGTTTGTTGTGACAATTATTTCAATGGTGCAGTAAAAAATGTACGGACACGACGTCAAAGGTGCCGACACGAAGTGAGACTACTGCTTTACTTTATACTGTGATAATACCGCCAAGCAATTCAAATTAAACAAATGGACGGAGCACCACATGGCCATGAGGTTGCGTGCGCAATCCGTGATCGCTTACGTCACGAAACACTCCTGCTCTTGCCCCTCGCTCACAAACTAAAACAAAGTATTGCAGCATAGGTACTTAGACAACCTTTAATATATAAACCTTGGCCTATGCGTACCACTTGGATGCGTTCAGACACGTAGGAACCAAACCAACGCAGTAAGCCACCCGTCACGCCAAAACATCGTAACTTATTTAACAGTATAGTGTGGTCCACCTTATCAAATGCCTTGTTAAAATCAGTGTACACCGCATCCACCTGTAAGTTGCTATCAAATGCTGAGAACAGAAAATCTGTGTATTCCAATAAATTGGTTTCAACTGATCGTCCGGGATAAAACCCATGTTGACTCATATGTATATTCTGTTTGACTTGAAAAAATACGCCGATGTACACTAATTTCCCAAAAACCTTGCAAAGAATAGGCAATAATGATATCGGTCGGTAATTAGTAAGTAAATTCCTAGCACCATTTTTAAAAATTGGAACTACGTTGGCCTACTTCCACGCGTCTGGAAAAATCCCCTGTTGCAAAGATTTATTATAAATTAACTGTAGGGGTATTGCCATAGCCTCAGAGCAGTTCCTAATCAAGATTGGTGGCAGATTATCCGCTCCAGGTGCTTTATTGAATAAAGTTTATTCAACGCTATCCCATGTAATGCTTTGTGTACTTCGTCAATAGTAAAGAACCCAACACACATTAGACAAACCTATCAACTAGAAACTTTCGGGTTTCTGAAGAAATAACTGTTTATTGGGTTGGAGAGATGGTAGTTTTGACAACTATAGAAGTAAATTGTCTGCAAGGAAAATTTCCTGCTGAACTGTAAAATGCTTTCTGAAGTTCATAGAGCTGTTCGTGGTTTAGACGGTTTATGTCAATGGAAGAGTAAAGAGTATCACACATTTTTTGCATTATCTTGGAATAGTGATACTAAAAGACGTATTATCTTTTGATACAAACATTTTTTGAAATTATTTTGTGCTATAACTATTTGCTCATGTAATGCCTACGAATTTTTTCTTAGGTTGGCTTAAACGCTACTTGAAAGTTTTTTCGAGGATTCTGCCAATATCTATGGAGAAGATTTTATTATCAGCAATGTCACACACAATCTCACACATTTAGTCGATGAAGTGCGAAGATTTTTTGGTCCTGATATTTTACAATAGATATACAGGGTAGTTCAAATTCGACCCCCATCATTGGGATCTCAGAAACCATAAGAGATACAGAATGTCAATAACACAACTAGAAATTTTCTCCGACGTTTTATTTTCGTGAAACTATCATCAGGTTTATTTTTTCTTATAAACGCCATATTTGATTTTCACACATATTTGTTTTTAAAAAAACATTGAATTATTCAAAACAAAGAATAAACCTGATAATAGTTTCACGAAAACCAAACGTCGGAGAAAATTTCTAGTTGTGTCATGACATTTTTCATAAATAGTTGCCTTAAGAATGTTTTTTCAGATTCATGAAAAAACGAAAAATAAAGGAGTTATAGGCAAAAAACGAAAAAATCATTTTTTTTGTTTTTCGGCCATATTTTAAAAACTAAAACGGCTAGATCCAAAAACTTAGTTGAAAAATGATGAGCTCTAAGATACGCAACTTTGTCCCCATTTAACCATTTCTGTATCTCTTATGGTTTGTGAGATCCCAATGGTGGGGGTCGAATTTGAATTACCCTGTATAGTTATTATAAAATAATTATTTAATAATTTTATAAACATGTTATAGACGCTCATATTACTTTATCATAAAATAGTTAGAGATACTTAAAAAGTAATTTATATAATTATTTTATAAATATTCTATGATAATTTATAACATATTTTGTTAACACATTTATAAAATCATTATATAAAGATGTTTTTATTGTGATTTTATAGATGTCATATAACTATTTTATGGTAGATCAAGACATAGGTATAAAATAATTGAAAAAGACTAATATATTATATAAATTGTGCTTATTTTGGTGCTATAGATGTTTTATAAACATTTTTATTACATTGCTGAGACTGCATGTTATATGGACTGCATTATTATTGGACTACAATGGACTGTGTGTCAATAGACTCTGTGTTATTAGATTGTGTGTCAAAAAAGCCACAACAACTGAAATGTCTTTATTTACCATCTACCTACTCACATGGACCTGAATATTAATGTAACAAAACCACCCTCTGCTCCATGCCTAACCTGATATTTGGGAAATTCATACTTGTTTAAATGTTAATTAACCTAACTCAAAATTGAATTTTTACACAAAATTCTGAAATAAATCATTAAGTAATGTTTAAAGAGGGCATCAGATATAGATTTTAGGTTATCTTTAGTTTATAGATGGTAAACAAGGCCATTTATATAAATTTATGATTAAAAAAAATTATTGATTTTTAAGCCACATGATGATTCTTGAATTATACCAATTTAACTTACTTGGTTTGGCTGGTCTTTTTGGTTTTGGTTTTCTCTTTGGTGGTTTATCTTCAGTTGCATTTAAATACAACACTAACTAATAACAAAAAAAATAATTATAAAGGGTTATGTACTTAATTAAAGTAACTTACAGCCCCTATACTAAGTGCTGCAAACAATAAACCTATAATTAAAATGTTCCTATTTCTCCGGCGATGTTCTGCTTCGATAGCATCAAAAGCACACTCTAATTTAGGAAGTTTACTCATTTCGTTGGGTTTTATACATTCTTGTAATGATGGGATATTCTAAAAAAAATAAATAAATTTAATAATTTTTAACTAAATTTGAATAATTAGGATATAAGGATGGGTTGGGAAACCTTTCTAGTACAAGGATTTAATTCTGGTGGACCACACGGTCGTCTTTCTCTAGGTCTACAATCAGGATGTCCCCCAATTTGTACTCTATCAAACTTTGTTATAGGTTCCGTTTTTCTACCTACTTTATTATCTTTATTTGGTGGTCTTGAATAGTATCTATGGGCGATAAAAAACGTTTGTGGTCCTACAAATTATAAAAGAAATTAGCACATGACAAAGTAAGGTTATATTCGACAATATAGGTTAGTTTACATGAAATTACGTCTTGTTGGGGCCTACCTGTAGAATTTTGTGGGCTCAATTTAATCGGACGAGCCGATTTTATGCCAAACGTCGCCAAATGCCGAAATCTGAGCATTTTTACAGGCGAATCTCGAAATTGCCCAAATCGCCGGCACACGGAATTTAATGGCGGGCGCCGACTTGTAAGAAGATATCGTTTTACCGATAAATTAACGTTCCACTTCTATTTAACAGAAAAACTAACATTATTGCGAGTTTTTGCTCTTTTTAAATAAAAAATGACAATTTCGAAAGGAAAAAATGACTTTTTTGTTTTGACATGGACCAATTGAATTCTAAACAATAAACGTACCTATGCGACTTGAACTGATTTTTGGTAATAAATTATGAATTAAAATTCGGTATTGTTGGGAAAATTAGGAAAATATTTTCAGTTTTGAAAGAGATTTTAAATGTCAAACTGATTGCGAATAGTTCAATTTGTGATCAAAGATGTCGGTGTTAATAATTTTTTTTTGAGATAAATAAAATAAATAATTGTTAAATGTTTGTATTATTTGTATCAGATTATTTGTGGGAGGATAATTTCGGTCTTAAAATGTAATTTTTAAAAATGATTTGTTAAATAAATTGTTTTAAAATTTGATGTATAGGATTAGTAATTTCATTAATAGATGTCACTAGGTCTGCATATTTTGTGCTATTTGAGTGGCCTATACACTTAATATTTTTATATTTTATGTGGTACTGATACAATAATATACTTATTATGTATTGTTTAATTGGAAACATCTCTTAATATCATTCCAGACTTGCCTCAATATCTTTTTGGACAATAATTATTGTGGTCTTTGATAATAAGTCAATATCTTTCTTAACATTTCCAAATATCGTTTCTGGCAAAGCTCAAGATTTGTCTCTGACTGCGTTTAACTTAAGCTATTAAGTGCCATACTTAATACTTACTTTATTAAGAAAATGTTATTAATATGTACCAAAAAACGATTTTATTTGACTACAAAATTTAAAATTATAAATTCTTATCTTACACTTAAAGATAAACATAATAGCTTAATGACATTTAGTTTCATAACATGTTTAAAAAATGTGTTGTTAAAAATAACTTAAAACAATGCGAAAGCGTTGATTTGAAAGTCATGGCTTATCGATTTCTGATACTTAGGATGTGTTTTTATTATTTTATATCATTACATTATATAAATCATATATTGGGTTGGTGGACCAACCAACCTTGCATCGCAACGTCAAAGATCTATTGTACCCAGTTGTGCAGTCCAATGCTATTAACGAATTTCTTCCTTTGGGGAGATAAACTGCGATGCAAAAATCGAGAATCTGATGCGATTAACAGCAGAGCAGTGGCATAAAACATGCATTCAACATCGTCGGCTATGCCCAACAAGTTACGGCAGTGCCCAGCAAAGACACCTATCAGAACTTTAATGCTGCTACGAGCAAGTCCTAAAATATTCCCGGGTTTGACATAAATGACTTAGTGTGTTTCATTCCAAGAGAACTGGTCCGCAGTAGGCGAAGTCTCTCTTCAGCCCACAGTCCAATCCTATGTTTGATGGTAGTGGCATGATTGATCCCGCTGATTATACGGGGATCCCCTCAATTGACCTCTTCCGAGGACTGACCAACTTCATATCAGTCTGTCATATAAACACACAAAGTATTTGTGCTCATTTTGATGATCTCCTACTTACATTTGAATCCAATATCTTTGATGTCATCGATCATCGGTGTATTTACTGCCCTCCTTCTATGAACTATTTTGATCAGTTAGATGAGATTTTGGAAAAGCATTCAGTTATCTATGGGACTATCCTGTTTTATCCTGGACCTCACATTCTCTTCTTGATCTTATTATTATATCCTGTCCAGACGGCATACTTACACATGGTTTGCCTTGCAATTTACCAACCATGATTTAATCTATTTTGCTCTACGGGTGCAGCATCTGAGTCGTTCTCGATGTGTTGTGACTTGCCGTGAGTTGAAACTAATTTGCTCTTGTGAGAAGCACTGATGATTGATTGGCTTCCACTGTATCGTTTAGCAGATATTGATGCTAAAGTGGATTACTTTAATTCTAAAATCATTAATCTTTATGATAAACATGCCCCACTTAGGCACCGCAGGATGAGGCACCAGCCTGCACCTTGGCTGAGTGATGAGATAAGATCCACCCTCTAGTACTAACCGGGAAAATTATCGAATTTTACACAACCGCTGTAATCATAAATGTAAGTATGCTAAGAGATCTTATTTCTACCAGAGGCAGTCTGGAGTCGTGCCGAGAACATTTTGAGAGGCCTCGGAGTGATTGACTCTCCGTCTGTCCAGATGGATCTTGATTATGAGTCGATGATTCGATTATGAATTAATGAAATTCTTACTTCTCTTAAATCTTGCTCCTTCTCTCTTACGCTTGTGACTGCGACCGAAGTAGGTGATGCTTTGACTTATTCGAAGTCCCCTTGCGTGGATTCTGATGGTATCGGCCTCAACCTTCTTCTTCCTATCCTGGATATAGTGCTTCCTCCCTTAACTCATATCTTCAACTTTTCTTTTGAGTGGTCTTTATTTCCCTCTGTCTGGAAGGTTGCTCATGTCGTTTCCACACCCAAATCCTCTTCATGTAACACTGATTTCCGTCAGATTTCAATTTTATCCGTACTATCAAAAGCTCTTGAACGCTTAGTTTATTTACAGGTTCAAGGATTTCTAGAGAGGTTTAATTTACACAATGAGTTGCAATCGGGTTTTTGCAGTGGGCATACTACAATTACTGCTCTCATTAAAGTTACTGATGATATTAGATATGCCTGCACGATTTCAGCAAGGCTTTTGATTCTGTCGACCACAGTCTTCTTTTGGCGTCTCTTTCTGAATACGGATTCACTTCCTCCTGTGTTTCTTGGATTCAATATTACCTTCCCATCGCTCCTTGTGCGTACGCGCTAACTCTTTAATTTTTCCTGTTTGTGCAATCAAATGTGGTGTTCCTCAAGGCAGTGTACTGCAATACTGTTACTAATTATATCTCTATCTATATATACTACTACAACTGTTGCTGAATTTCCGGAATCTATTGTGCGACTTAATAACGAACTATCTAAGGTCTTGAACTGGTCTCGGAGATGCGGACTTCAGTTGAACTCAGTTAAAACGCAAGCTGTTGTGTTTGAAACTCGTCAATTACTTGGTAAGATTAATCCATCTACCTGCTGGATTAGTGATTTGATGCTGGATGGAAATGTCATACGGTTTTCTGACACAGTTAAAAATCTTGGATTCTGCACTGTCTTGGAAACAAATTCAACATGTTTGCAGAAAAGTTTATACTTGTTTCCACTCTTTAAAAAGACTTCGCTGCTCTCTTCCTCCGGTGGTCCGTCATAATCTTTGCTACTCACTTATATTTCCTCACTTCGACTATGCAGACGCGGTTTATCCCGATCTCTCAGTGACTCTTCTGAGTAAATTGCAGCGGTTACAAAATAATTGTATCCGGTTCATATTTGACCTAAATAGATTTGAGCATGTAACGCCGTATCGCAATTACATTCAGATGTTAACCTGTGAGAGACGTAGATCCTTTCGTTTATTAACCATTTTATTTAAAATCCTTCATAACTGCACCCCAAAGTACTTATCAGATAGGTTCCAGCAATTATCAACTCATGAGCTTGCTACTCGTTCACGTTCTGATACTATTCTTACATTTCCCGTTCATAGCACTGAAATTTATCATAGATCATTTACAGTACAGTCGATTGCGCTGTGGAATGGACTGCCTTCTGAAATTCGTAATATTTCTAGAATTACTAATTTTAGACATGTTTTAAAGAGCCACTTGCTTGCCCTTCAACTGGCTGTTTCCTGATTCTTTGTTCTTTGTCTTTCTCTTTTTTTCCTCTCTTCAACTGCTCTCACTTGTTGGCAACTGAT